TATATATATATATCAAAATATCTTATGTTTAATTACACAATTTATTGACTACCATTTAAATTTAACATGTGTATAAAAGTCACAATTTGTTATTATACATTTTTGCTATATATCAATAAATTAACAACTATTACTTTTTAACATTAGGTAAATTTGAACACAATTTTATTTCAGATAATATTTTCGTTAATGGATTAATAAAAAAAATTGTTGTATTAACATTCTTATTGCCGAGTTGAAGTGAAAGGACAAAAAGGATAAAATCTATAATTTAAATTTTTTTTTTTAAAAAAAAATATAATTGTATTATTTAAAATTAAAAAAAATTAAGGTTTCATAGTACTGCCTTCATATAGCCAATATAGGACAGCCGAGACGAAAAAAAATGCCACTAGCGATCACCTTATAGTCATATGATAGTCACATGCTAGAAGCGTTGTTATTCATATATCAACAACATATTCAAAATATATTATTCGTATTTTTACTTCAAATTGGTTTTTCTGAAACATAAAAATAAAAATATATTATTCGTATATCAACAAAAGCATTCAAAATATGTTATTCATATAACAACAGCATATTTGAAATATATTAACAATGTATTCAAAATATTCACTATATCATTAGTTTGAGTACATATTTTAACATACTTTGAAAATATTGTAAAATTATTTTATTCATATTAAAAAATTATTTACTACATTAGTTTAAATTTCAACATATATTAAAAATATTATAACATTATTTTATTAATATTACAAACATATTACGTATATTAAAATATGTAGAACATATATATACCATCTGTTAATAACATGTAGTGATTATGTCTAACATATTTTGTGAAAATCAGAGGTTTCTGCAAAGGTGCGTTATAGTGATAAAGCTAAAGGTATTTGTCTTTTACAATGTTGTTGTGGAAGTGATGCAAGCCTAAGACCAAAAAATGGTAACTCAAAAGCTCGAAAATCAAGACAAGTTTACAAGTTTGTTGGATGCCTTGCGCATGCGCGGATTAAAACATATAAAAACAATTGCATAGAAGTCTCTGGATATCTTATTCATTTAGAGGACTGTCAACGCCAAACCAGTACTAATAATGAAACCGAAGAGCAAATCGAGTCATGGAGAAAATCCAACGATGAGTTTCAGCCATGGGAAGAAATTTATGAGAAATTAAATTTACTTGATAGTAAATTAATGGCGGCGTTAATGAGTAATGACTATGTAACCAATATTACCAATAATGAAGAATTTGAAAATTAGCGATAAGTTCAGTCAATAGAAGAAGTTATAAGACATTAAATTATGGATATCTAATAGAAGAAGTTGTTCAATTGAGATTCGTATACTCGTATGTTAAAAATTTTACGCTATTATATCAACGCGAATATTTCGAAAATAAGGGTTCAATTCGTTATCCGTTAGTCAACAGACCCGATTAAGTAATATTCTTTATACGAAGTCAAATTCAAACACAAACACAAACACATTTATTATTTATTTCCAAGTTTCAAAAGCACAGCTTTTACGCTTTTTTACTTTTATTTATCGTATCATCAGGTTCTAATTTTATATTACGAATTATTAGACCAATTTTTATTTACTTCCAAGATTATTTAAGAAAAATTTTACAAGCTTCTTTAGAAATTTTATCGTTATACATTTATTTCTACTTGGTTATGCGACAAATTTTCTTTGACTATGACAACATTGATTTTATACTTATTACTTACTTAAGTTTACTTATATGACACATTTTAGGCTATATGAATTATAAAATTTTATTTATGACTAACTTTAAAACCCAGAAAATCAAAACATTGCTTTTTTATTCATTTAAAAACTACCACATTATTTCCAACAATTTGATTTTTTATTCTTTCTTTTATGATAGAATTGATATACAGTACGTATAGTATTTATAGAAATACTAATTCTGAATTTTTAAAGAATATCTAGTTGGACGTAACCAATACGTGGGATAATATTAATTAAAAAAAAGCTTTATCATTACACATTTTTTATTAATGAAAAATTATTTTTTTAAGATCTAAAATAACTGCATAAACTTGTATGATCAAAAAAGTAACTTACTAACTACCCATATTACCATTTTTCATGACTTTTGAATTTTCGTTTTAGACTTTTTGATTTTATCTCATTGCGTACTGTAATTATTAATTATAAGAATGTGTCCCCTTAGAAAACATCATTGTTCTGTGATTCACACTTTATATCAATAAACTTAAACGCTGTCAGTGAATATTTATTTTCTTTGTCGAATGCGAAAGAATTCTTAAGTTTGTCATTAATTGCCTATCCGTGCGATGAGCATCCGAGGTGATGTATAGTAAGCAAATTGGCATGGAATCCGAGGGTGGTGTGGTGGCGTGTTGATCTTTTTTATTTACAACGTGTTACAAAAAAAACCGGAATTATTTGAAAGATGGATTTCATCAATAATAAATTAATATGGAATTGTTTTTAGTAATTTTTCTATAATTAAGCTTATAGTTATATTTTTTTTATTTAAAAATTTTTTATAACTATTTTTAGAGCAAATTTATATTTTTTTGCATAAAATACTTTATATTGTTAAAAGAATTTTTTTATTCCCATTTTCCCCATTTATCTTGATAATATTTAAGAAATTTCTAGTGAATTTGCATTTATTTTTAATTTATGAATTTCATGTCAAATTTTTCTCTAATTTTCTCAAAAAGTAAAAAAGCACTAAAGTCCTAAATGATGTCAAAATGTGTCAAGTTTATTCTACACTTTAAATGATAAAAATTGATTTTGAGTAGATTACACACATTTTTGTAGTTTGAATCATTTATTAGCATATATTTTTTGCTTTGAAGTAAATAATTATTGATAATTTTTTCAAAAGATAATAAAATGTTTATAACTTCAAAAGATATCAAAATGTAACCTTGGGTCTATTAACTGGTCTATTATAATAAATTGTGAGCATTTTTATCACGTGAATAATTTTTGTAACACACTGTAACTCTATCCTTTTACCCCATCTTTTTTTTCGGTTACTCTCTATTTAACATTAAAAGCTAATCATACCTACTGTTACGCAGTAAAATGTCACGCAGCAATCACGTGATATAACTGGGACCCGTGATGCCGATCAATGTAACAAATGTCGAATATGTTCGATAGAATATATAGAACATGTAGCATATATGGGAAATATAGAACATATTGTTTATGTATATATAGACCTGTAATAAAGAGCATTCAGAGAAGGAACAATATAGAACGTGTGTGAAGAATTTAATTAATAAAATGTTTATCCTTTAATATACACCTTAATTTTAAATTTAGTTTTATATGGTTAATCTGCTTTCCTTTATTTGTGTCTGATTGTATGTGCCAGTGTGAAGCGATACTCTATTCACATCTGATTGGATTGATTTTAACATATACGTTGATCTTTAAAATTAACCTTATGCTTTATTAAAAATAAACATTTTTCAATGTATAGCTTATTTTTAAGCATATAAGAACTGACATCTAACATTACATAAATTATTAGTAGTGAAAATTATTTGGTCCATTGACTTTTTAATTGGACATATTTGACTACAACAAAAAAATTTTTGACAAAATTAAAATAGTTCCGGTCGACCCAACCAAGCGTAATGGGCGAAAACCGATTACATATATTTCAAATCTTAAATATTTGACCAAAGATACATTGAATTGTGTTTTTGACAATTTCAATAATGAAAAGGATGTGTAAAAATAAAATTTTTTCAGACTATTAGGTATCATATTCAAATATTATCCCTCGTATTTGTTACTTCCAATTAGATGATATTCTTATAATTCAGAATTCGTACCTCTATAAATACTATGTATACAGTGAAATTCAAACCGGATCTTCGATAAACCGGATTTGGGCCTAAACCAGACTTTTTTTCTGGAACCAAATCACGTATATTAAAATAGTTGTGATATACCGGAGTTTACTAGTAAAAGCTCGATAACAGATCAATTTTCTAACCAGCTATAGTAAAAATGATTCGATAAACTTGATCACGTGATCATTAACCAATAAAATTTAAGTAACGTGATGCGGTAAATCTTAATTTTGGCCAGAATTATAAAAATCTTAATTCCGGCTGAAGTTATGTATTACTTATATATTCAATTTAAAAATATTTTATATTCATTTTCATGACCTCTATGACTTAAAATTAAGATGAAAAAATTAAATTATAGTGTATATTAGTTTATTAGCATGAAATTTTTTAAAAAAATTTAGTATAATAGATTGAAATTTTTTCGTTATACCGGATATCCCGATAAACCGGATATTTTTAGTGGAACCGATAGATCCGGTTTATCGAATTTCACTGTGTATATCAAATTTATCATAAAAGCACTTAAATCAAAAATTTGAAAATAATGTAGTTGCTTTTATATGGTTAAAGAAAGGATGTTTTTCTTTGCTGGGATTAAAAGTAAAATTTTATAATTCATATATCCTAAAATGCATGAATTCAAATACTTTTTCGTATCCGAATTTTGAAATTCTTTTAATATAAATTCAATGTTTTGTAGCCAAGAAAATTTCGTTATATAATCAAGATTCGTGGAACTGAAAATACTATATTATAATATCAGCCGCAGCCTAGCTGGCTAAACATTTAATTTCGCGCGCGACTCCAAATTTGAAGATTTGATTTTGTTGATGGTTAAAAACGAGAATGACATTTCAGATAAAGATATAAGTAATTTGTTTGAGTTAATGATAACATGAGAGGAAAGTTATTTGGTTATTTTTTTATTTTTAGAAAACAGAAAATCAAACCCGTAGATTCAATTATACAGAGAACCTAAAAAGTCTATATATAATACTATCACTACGAAGCAAGCCACCCCAAGGCGTGACGCTTTCTGTTCTTTATGGAATAGGTGAACGCGAGTCAGAACCACGAACTTTCCCAGGAACACCCGCCTTAAAATATATATATAAGAGAAAAAAAAACAATTTTACCAAAATCCCAAGAAAAAAAACACAATTTTACCAAAATCCCAAGAAAAAAAACAAGAAAAATTAATAAAACCCGTATTTTGCTTTCAGCCCTAAGGCTGCCACTTGTCAATACTGTCATAAGTGGAATGGTTCACACTATTTTAAATTGTTTGATACATATACAAACGTGCATGATGACGTAAGGGTAATTCATAGACGCCAAAATGTAGAATGCAAAATAAGAAAAAGTGTTTAAGACTCATTACATGAACAATATACATATATAGAATAAGAAAAACTAAATTAATTAGAATTAAGACTAGAAAATAGGGAGTCAGTAGGGAAACTATTCGCTGGTCTTGATCGTTTGTGGTCATGTGATTGTGACGAAGCGGAAGGATAGGACAAAGTGTCCCTCTTGTTAGGTCGGTATTTCACCGATTTAGTTTCGTCTGAGGTGTATGAGGGTAAACCGAAGAGATCTAGATGGTAGTCAGCCGGGTGACAAGGCCGAGGAGCGTACGGTATGCACGTATAGTCGTAGTATTCTTGATATTTTTCCACCCATTTCTTCCACTTGCGATGTTGTTTCTTTTTGCAAGGCATTGGAGGAGGTGGGGGTTGTTTCATCTGCTCGTGAAATCCATTAGTATGAACCGTCAGTTGTCGAGTTGATATTCCTCGACGATAATAATGTTTAAGTGTGGTGCCCATACCGTTAGCGGAGGATGAGTCGTAATCTAAAGGGTTAGACAGACGTATATGGGTAGTCGGGGGTAAGTCAGGTTCAAAGGGGTTGTATTAAAAATAATAACTACTATTCACTTTAGACGGGTCTACGGGATTATAACCATAGTATATAGTGCTACGAGGAAGTGGTTCTAACGAATCCATGAGAGCCTCGATTTCTGCGGCATTCAAATAATGAGGGATAGTATTAACGCCAGAAGGCCTAGATAAGGTCAAAGGTTGTGACGTAGTGCTGCAATTCGGCAGCGTGTGATGAGATATTTTAAATATATAATCATCAGGATCAGGTAATAATTTCTCCGTTAAAAATTTTTTGAATTTCAAATGGTGAAGAGGTGAGTAGATATGTTGTGATTCATCGAATAGGAAGCGAAAACGTCTTCCAGCTGAGAGTTTGTAATCTTTCAAAGTGCGGGAGGTAGGGTCAATAGTTTTAAGCACCCTTGCACAATGTCTCTTGAAGCGGGTTTCCTGTTTGCGCTTCGTTGCAGGATTACTGCTATGATTGAGTTTGAAATTCGAAAGGTGTTTCCTGTAAATATAGGCGCCTGGATGTTTGCGCACGAAATTAGTACTGTTAGCCACATAGCATACATTGTACTGAATGCCAAGGCGGTTGGAAAAGATCTCATTTTTCCATCGATGTTGCCAAAGATCGTATACATGATTAGCGTGTGAAGATTTTGAATTCGTATATCCTGGGTCCAATTCAGGCACAGGTTTCAGATGGTGATTAATTTTTGTTCTCGAAAATTCAGGTTGATGAGTACCACAAGCACGTCTATTTAAAGACATGACGAAAGGGCTCGGGCTATGACACCGGGTAAGAGAATTAGATAAAGCGGGTGTGCAAACATGTTCACAAGGAACGTAAATACCAAAGTGGAAGCGATAGCGCTTATAAGAAAACGAGAAGAAAGTTTTTGTATGAGTGTTCTTCAAAGTTCTATTAGAAGCACGTGACTTGATAAAGTCGATTCGATCCAGTAATTTTTGGCGAATCAAATCAAAATACTTTTGTTGAATACGTTGGGGTAAAACTTTTTGTAAGGTAAAAAAGTGTGTGAGCATTTTACTAATTTGATATTTTGTGTTAGGCAAATAGCTCGTGGATGTGTATCGAATAGGCGTAGAATCCATGTGATAATCATTGGTGTGTAAAAATAAATGAAGATCATTGGTGTTTGAAAAGGGATCAGCAAGCTCAAAAAAGAAACTTTTTGAGCGCCTAAATTCATAAATCTTGTTATAACCGGTTCGGCGTTTTGTCATCACGTGAAATTTTTTCACAGAGACAAGGAAAGTATTTTTATGAAAAGTGGACGTATTATTAAACGTTTTTGAGGGAGAAAGGAGAGGTAAAGGTAAAGTAGTCTGGTCGGTATGAACCAGCTGAACGGGAACAGATATATCTTCTGTATCCATCTCTCTCAAAGGTCAAGGGTAATAAAAGGAGACCTTTCCGTAGAGGCCACCAAGTGGTCCTCGCTCCTTACAAAAATATAAGTGTTTGTGAAAAAGTTTATATTACTGCGGTTTGTTAACAAAAAAATCGGAAAGGGGAGAGAGTTTTTTTTTCGCCATACCCGAGGAAAGTTATTTGGTGCTAATTATATAATTTAATTATCATAACTATTCAAAATCACGTGGATGAGAAAGATCCAAAAATTCATTGTGATACATCAGGTAAATTAAATACATTTATTTCGTAAGAAAAAGTTTGCGAAAGTGGTATAACTGTGCCAATCCCAGATTTAATAAAGTCAGTACCTTGAATATATCAATAAAGAGATTATATAGGAAAGATGTTATGTATAGACACGAACCACCAGTTGAACCGGCAAAAATTGTAGCACAGGGCCAGCGTTACGGCATTATGCACGAACGCGTGAAAGTAAACAGTGGTGATAAATAAGGATTTTACCTACTCAAAAAACAAAGTCCCTCAGATAAATATAAACAGCGCAAACCTGGTGGGATGTGATTTAGAGGTATGTCACGTGATGGCTAAATTTTTGCCGGTGCGGCTAGTGGCAGTTACTGCGGCTGCGCCTTATCATTTGTATTTATGTGCGTTTGGTCTCTTATTTCTTTCATACGTACGTACGTTTTGATTTAATTAGTATCATTTATTTGCCATGTATGTACGAGGTATTGAGTAAAATAGGACAGTACGCTAACGCAAATTAGTACGTACTTGTGTTTTTTTTGTTCGTACGTACATTTACAGCTAATCAATTTTTTAATACTAGTACGTACGAAAGTTTTAAAATTTTCGTATTAATTTGAGTTTTCGTACAATCGTACGACTTTGCATTCTTGTATTTTTGTGCAACTTCAAATATTGTTTTCAACAAAATATCTTACTAATTATAAAATTAAATGTTAAATTATAAAATTAAAAAAATTCTTTGAAGATAAGCTAATAAATTTTCATTCCTTTAACATATTCAGCTCCACAATAATAAAACTGACCATTAAAATAATAACTAAATTTTATTGGTTTATTTATTAATTTTTTCAATTCATTATAATATTTTATTTGTTCAAATTCAGGATTTAATAGCTCAAATGGATAATCTTTAACATCGGATATATTATAAATATCCATATTTCCAATTATTTTTCTTCTTCAAAGAAGTAAAAAATTAAAAGAAATATTTACGATGACAGATTATATTACTCAAATATAATGTGCAACATATTCATCTCAAAAATTTGATCACATGATGCTACAATGTAAAATATTAGTACGAAAAAATCAAAATTTATTTTTAAAGGTCCGTCTGAGTACGGAATATTAAAATTTTGTTTTTTTTTGAACGTCCGTACTAATTTGTATTACCGTACAGTACTAATTTACTATATACTCGTATGTACGTACAGTACACTCAGTGCAACCATACGTACATAGCTAAAGATCACCATACACTACACACAAGGGTCTCTATACGCTACATATTTCCTAATTGCCCCAATAAAGAAAATTTCTCACGTATAGCCATACCATTTTGCCGCACAGTAAGACTAGGTGTTCGGCCGATACACGTATCACACGGCCTTAAAACAAAAAAAATTGTAAAGAAAAATTTATAATAACTTTTATACGGTAAGCACATTATTGCCTGTTCTGCAAGTATACTTGAAGCTTTTGGTTTTTTGTAAATTTAATCCCGGCCAACATTAAATGAATTGATGTAAAAATTTACCTTTTTTTGGAAACCCGCGTTTGAACACCTCGTGTACAAATAGAAATTGCCCCACCCTCTTTATTATTAAATGAAAATTTGACACATCCACCTTTCAAATTTTTACATTTTTTTTATAATTTTGCCCAAAACGCCGCAAACGGTATTATGTTATAAGAAAATATAAATATCTTGGCTATGAACTGCTGTCAACGTCAACCGACCCTGTAAAAAATTTTATTCGTTATTTCTGTAAAAACTCGTAAAAATGATCATCTTTTCACGGACATTTACGGAAAATGTAAATAATTCGATAAATTCTGTGATATAAGGTTATAAAAGATGGAATATGAGAAAAAATGGCAAGACAAAATCAAATCATAACACACTATAAGTTCATGGTGATTCCTCTACAGCATCGAAAGAAACAAACGTACAGCGCTATAAACAAAATATAGCTATTAACGCACTTGAATTTTTTTTAAATAAAATATAAAATTTTTAGATTACTTTAAAGTATGATTTGTAAAGTAGAGTATAACTACTATATGCGAATTTCAGTTACGGGAGTGAAGTTTTTCTAAGTTTATATAAAGGATACATAAATTTGTTTAGTAAGTAAATTGTAATTTACCAATAACTATTTAATTTGATTAGATTCCTTTCCATTCATTAAAAATTTTTTTCCATAATTCTCTAGTATCTTTTATCGTAATAAATACTGTACATTTGATTACTTATACTGTTAGTCCTTATCATCCAAATAATATCTGAAAGATATTCAACATTTACGTTAATTGCTAGAATGTGAAAAAAGGAATCGTCATGACTTATGATGCATGTAAAAATATCACAAATTTTTTATTTGCTCGGTCTAATTTTTTATTATTAAAGACCTGCTAGTTAAGATTCAGTTAGCAATACTCTTTCATATTATATTTTTTAATTCAGCTTATTAAAGAAGCAAGTTAATTGTAACGATTATGTGCGTATTATTTAAATAAATCAGTAGAAATAATTAAATTTAAAAATTTGGCGATTGAAATTTTTATTTTTTAATGTTCCTCCTAAAACAAATATTTATTTCCATATCTGTGTTACTGAGTTTCTGAAAATTATGATAAAAAAATGACAAATGGAAGCACGTAACTCTCATTCCAAGCAATTTCATAAAGAGTTTTACCAGTAGCTCTACACATTGAGTTATTCATTACGAAAATAATGTAATTCAACCCGCCGGTCATCCAGTTTCTTGAATTCTTCCGTCCATGCATCTATCTTTCTTTCCAATATGAAGTTCGCCCTTTCAATATCGTCACAGCACTTATGTCCACCAATAATGTGATATTTTATACGAAATTAATTTTGTGCAAATTATTCGATCTATAACACACGCGAATCGCTAATAAACAAAATGTTGATTTGACTGTTATTATATAATCGTGATTTGCTGCGAAGCAAGTATAATAACTTGCAGTCTTATAACTATTAACCTTGAGTTCTTCCGTCCAGCTTTCCTGTTTTATATTCTAAAGTCTGTTGAACTAAGATGAGTTTCAGACGCATTAATTAAATCTAATAGAAAATGTTTAATTCGAGTCAACTGCAGGATCTGCAGAAAGTGGGAATCTGGCGTGGCGTCAAATAAAAGTAAAAATTATGTGAGAAATTTTTTGAAAAACAAATTATTTGAAACTTTGGGACAAATATTATGTGTTAAATATGCCAGAGTTGAATGGGTTTACATGGGTTTACATAAAGAGCATTACTTAAGGAATAAAACAAGGTAAAGGTATCAGAAAAAGATTACTAATGATCGTATATGAAAATTTTACGGATCACGAATTAAATAAGAAACATTTTGTCCATATTCAGTTATTAGTAAATACATTTATATTTCAAGTAATAAATTTTATTCAATTTGTTAAATAATACAAAAAATTACGAATTATTTTACTTTTAATTTAGAGTTAACTTGATAATGGTTCCCAATTCATTTATTTGATTAACAGTGTACCGATCAGATTTAGCCGGATATTTATTATGCAAGCTGTGCCAAAATATCTCTTTGAGAACGGAAATGCTACCTTCGTATAGACGATTGTAATTTCACTATATCTTCGATTAATGAAATTCTACTCAAAAACTTACAAACAATTGTTGAACTAATCGACCTTAGTTATTGAATGATACATTATTTTATTCAGAAAATTGATGTCAACAATTTACAGAATGCTAAATTGAGAGTTTTCTTCATCTTATTCAAATCTTTGACTATAAACTTTAAGTTTTCTAGCATCCCTAGCCCATAACATAAATTCGGATGATGATTTGAAAGTTAGTAATCTTATATTTTGAAGAAGATTCTATTTCCAAATAAAGTAAAGAAATCTAGATTTATCTTTTTTTTCTATAAAAAAAAAAAAAAGATACAAACTGCGCCGTTATATTTAAAATCACGTCACGTGAGATTTCTCTGATGAGTGATGACTGCCTAAAATTACATTTCATGTGACTTTTGGCCAGAGTTATGACATTAACTTGAAGTCATGTAAAAATTAAAGGATTGTGCGTTGAAGATCTAAACAATGCAGTTTCTCAGTCGTTCGATGTAAGATATTTTTTTTTCACGTCAATGTTCTTTCTTATTTGAACGAGTTTTAAAATTAGTATCTTAAGGATTTTTTTATTAAACTAGTTTATTCTTATAGAAAATTTATCTTACATTGTAAACGATTTATGGATATTGCATGCATATAATTAATATAGGTGATAATAGTTAAGTTATCTATCGAGAAAATCATAATAAATGTAAAACACACAAAGAATTCTACCCAAACATATGTTCTATATCGTAATACTGTCGCATTAATAAGAAATCTTAAACCTTATTGATTCTTAAAAAAAATTTACTTAGTGCATATATTGTTTGATCCTCCATAAATTTTCAATTATTATTTCCACTGGTTTGAAAATGAAAAAATTATATTTTTTCGTTAAAAAATCGACTTTTTTTTTGTAATAAATTATATATATAGTATCTGTCCGGTAACCGTCAAGTAATTAGTCGCTGAACCAAATTAATTTGCCCGAAACGATATAGCTTATTTTATTAAGCTTAAATAAATAAAAAATATATATAATTATCTAATTAATTTTAAAGCGTCTAAATCTATAATTTTAAATACATAAGTGTACTGCTGTACATAAATAAGTTATTGTTTTAAAAACTTAAAAATACAATTTGAAAATAAATAATTTAGGTTTAATTAATAACATAAATGTGAAAAAATCTTAAAATTTTATAATCTTAATTAGCATAATTAATCTACAAAATTAAATATTATTAAAAAATAAAAAATAAACGAATATTGCTTAAATGTAAGCATCTTTGTCAATATATTGATCAAAGATTTTATCATAATGATCACATTCATCCGAAGGGATTTCATTTGAACTTTCGTCATTCAAACGTACGTCTTTATGACAACGATCATCGAAAATTACTCTCAAACCTGATTTAGGCTGAGGATTTTCTACCGAACGTTGTACAATTTTTGTTCTTGGGGGACCTTTCTTGAGTAAACGTTCGTTGTTTGCGAATTCAATAAATGAATTCTTGAGGTCAACGGGTAAATGTCTCCATTTCTCCCCCGCTTTTATTGCTTTTTCTTGCGACGTTAATTTTGGATACTCTTTATCCAAAATTTTTTTATAAAACTTGAAAAAGATAATGTAGCCGTTTGAAGGCTTTTGGACCCTCTGTTCTGGTGGAGGAGGATCATTCCTCGGAAGTAATATACGTGAAGAAATATACGTTGGTGGCATAATGTTCTTAATTATTTTTTTTCTTTTATATTGACCACTCTGGCGAAGAATTAAACTTCTACAAGATTCCATTTTTATAGAAAAATTTTCATAGTTAGTAGTTAATAATTTTCGTGGAAAAACATGACACAAAAAAACCGACGCGTTTATTCATTACGTTTTCATCATTTAAGCGAAATTCTAAAAGGTGAAAAGGAAACTTATTAATTAAGAACATCAATAAGATTATTAGTAAATTAAAAAAACGCATATTTATAGAACATTTATTTAGACAAAAGAAAAATGAATATTAAAGAAATCAGATTAATAATTTATTTTCAAAGCATACGTCTCCAATACACATTATGACGACAAAGATGCATATTTATCATTCAGATTCTTTGCTTTTTATTTCCTCCAAGATTATTATTATCGGAAATCTTCCATACTTACCGCAAACTTCTCATAAATAAATCCAACGGGAAAAATAAATTACGAAAATCCGTTAAGAAAAAAAAAAAAAAAAAGTGAAATAAAATCAAACGAAAATATATATAAAAAAATTACATGATAACATAATCATTACCTCTAATTTTGTATTCATTATAAAATTTATTTTTGAAGAATTTGATGACACGAACAATGAATTGTGTAATATATCACACCGATTTATTCATAACTACATTTCATTGATATAAAAAAAATTAGTCATAAAAATTTTTATTTAGTTTTCTAAAAAAAGAAAAAAATTAAAATTTTAATTGCTTTTATGCATTGCACCTAATAAATAATATTTGACAGTCTACATACATATTTTAGACAGTATTTTAATCAAAGGAAAATAGTTTTGAAAAAAAATTCTCAGTTCCCTATAAATAGGAACAACAAGATCCATTTTATTGGTTAAATTATATACACTCTTTTGCTAAATATGTCCAAAACATAATTCAGCATTATGACAACATGACCGAATTTAGAAATTTTAATAAAGTAAAAAAACAAAGATTTTACGTCTTTGTTGCGAATTTAAAGTGTGGCGCATCGAAAATTAGCCCGGTATGAATAAAATAATGGAACAAATATATTGAAATTAGGGTATATTGAAGTGAGAATTGTTCGAATTATAAGTTAATTTCGCTACATCCATCGACATCCATACCATTCCATACTATTCCTAAAAGGTTATAAAATTTATTAATGTAATATAACGATAAATTTATTAATAAATTTTGTATTCCAAGTATTTAATATAATAAACCCTGATAAAATAAATGTATGAGAAACGTTTTAGGGTTAATTATATTTAACCGTGGTTGGTTAGTTACGTGAGTGACGCTTTTTTACCTAGAAATTTGCCTCACTTAATGTAACACTATATCAAATCTAGAAACAATGAATTTACATTTATATTATTTTTTCAATACTATATTAAGTATTCTAATGGTAATCAATTGATGACAATCTAAAAATTTACGGGTATTTTACTCGGAATTGTGTAACAAACCAAATTTTTATTACTATATGGAGCTATTGTTTTAATATCCAAAGTTATGAGATGAATTCACGCCACATGATCATAATAACAATAATGGGAAACGCCACACTCCAATTTAAATTACCTTCATTGATGCATTGATTTGATTTTGCCGAATTCGTTTATATTTCCATTTACGTTGATCAAGTAAATACTCGTTTCTAATAACTGTTTGATTAATTATTTATGTCATTCTTAATGGAGTACTGGATATTTAATCCCGGTAATTAAATATTAAATGAAAAGATGATAAAATATAATAACGAAAATTCAAGCATTAAAGAAGGTTAAAGCGCGTCTCTTATTATCTAGACTTGCCATTATCATAAATGCAGTTTATTCGAAAATTCCGGATATGAAATATTTTTGATCAAAAAAAATTATGGTGAAAATTTATTTAAGAGATTATGAACTTACTTTATTTGTTTAGCGAAATTCCCATGTGGGAGATTTAATTTCCAACTTTCTTTGAAAAATATTGTTTCAAGTACTACAGTGCTACAACATTCATTAAATGCATTTAAAAAATTTAAAAATAAAAGTTCATTCTTAAATGTCGTTCAATAATTATTTTTTTTTTTGCATACATCTAAAAAAAAAAAAAATTTGCTTTTATATTGTAAAAAAGAATCGTCAGATTTGGACATTTGACGTGCTCATCAACTCATGAGATGATCGACATTTTACATTTTCTTTCTGGAAAAGTTCGTAAATCAGAAAATAAAAGACTTGAATGTAAATAGATAGTGTGTAAACTTGTAAAAACGTCCGTGAATTGGAATCACATGTGATGATCCATTTATTTTAGTTTCACTAACGTCTTATAGTGATCCGAAAATGGTTTTATTAACTATAAGTGGCAGTTATAAAAATATTAATTTCTTTGTTAAAAAAAAAAAAAATATTATTAAATAAACATTTAAGCACAAGGAATTCCCGATATATCTCCATATTTCATAATATGACTTGTAACATAATTCTATGGTACTAATGTCGGACCGCTCAGAGAAGTCCGATAATTCAAACCTTAATTGGTGACAATTTTGTAGATCAAAAGTGACGAAACTACAATACTTCAAACATATTTATGATAAATAAATATTGTTTATTGAACTAAATCTGATTATCTATCGGAATAACTTTACGGATACCTTTATGGAAACATAACAGTAAAATTGACGGAATTAACAATATTTATCCTACTATCTCTCCTATCTCGCGCAGAAAAATTTTGAAAAAAAAATGCTTTATTTACAAGTTCTATCTTTTAATTACATATTATTCACGAGATACCCTTAGTATAATAATACAAAATACTTGGTATGACCTGAGAGTACTATAATAAATCTACATGTTACAAATCTCATATGTTGAGAAGTGGGTAATCTTAAAGAGAGATATCTTGTGCAGTGTGGTACAGTATGATAAGCCACAGGAGTAAATTGTTAGTTTATGTTTATATGATATTCATGAGTTAATTCCTTATTAGCTTCATTATTCAGGAAAAGAAAGGAAGATGAAGAATTGCCCTGCTCTGCTCAAAGTAAAAAAATGGTGAAAAGAGCCAAGAACGTTAGGGTTTATAACAATTAGTAAGTTAATTATCGATCTAACATCATTTACTAATAGCTTTCTCTCGGATAATATTTAATATTCTTTATGATTAACAATCTTTCACGAAAGAGATTTAAATTTTCAAATTAAACATAAAAGACTGTCACATGAATTTATAACTTTTCGAGTCGGCTTTATCAGATATTCATTTTTTATTAGAAATCTAAGCGCACATCTTTTGCTATTTGTTTATTAGTTGTTATTATCAACATTGCCACTCATTTATGAACGATGTATAAAATATGAAAAAATTTTTATGTGCATGTTAATTTTTTTGTGCACATTTACATATAAATTTGTGCACAATTATATGTTGATTAAAAATTTTTGTGCACAAAAGTGCACATTAAATTTGCACAATTGCACACTAAAAAAACATACGCACACGTGCATATTGTGCACATGAATTTTATATCATGATAATGGATTAATATTGATATTCTCTTTAATGAACACTTTTGCAATACTAAAACTCTCTTCTTTTGTTGTCAGTATTGATGCTTTTACGCATATGAACTTTAGATTTTTTCAGGGCTTGAATTATTCATTATAACAGTAATCCTTGCAATTTCTTCTTTCATTAGTTTCTTTCCTGGCTTCTCTATTAATTTTCAATATTGATACTTAAATTATATGTAATTACCGATATCGATAGGTCGTACATAAATATAAGTGAATTCAAATCTGTAGAACAAAAATAGCGAATTAGATATGAAGTTTTTTAAAAAACTTTTTATAGTTAGACGTGACGGCATGACAACCGGAAATTTCACAATTTTCATACAAACCCTAAAAGTATAAAGTCCTACGCTTCTCTCCAGACAAATACTGATGTCATAATAATATAATGATTATTAAAATCTTTCACGTCATATTCATTTCTTTCATATAAAAGGTTTGTTCTTAACTTTACTATCAATTTTGGTGATATTTCATCCATAGCTAGCTGAACCAAGGTCAACTGAAATGGAACCAACACAAATAATGCAGGAAGCATATGGTTATTCAAATGGGTAAACCCGTTTTTGAAACGCTTCACCTATTAATGTAAAATTCCGAAATTCGGCTCAAAACCTCCGAAGCCTCCGTAACCGAAACTTGCCGGTTCGAATTTACATGCGGTATTTAAAAATAGAGATGTTAATTATTTTATTGTAATGTTGTACATTATTATAAAATTTACGTAATATTAATTATTTCATCAACCTAAACAGCTTCAATATTACAATTACTATCTGAAACTCTTTTACCTTTGCTTGTATCGTAAATTGCCATATGGAGGTTATGGTCTACAACCAAATTTTATTACGCGCATTTAAATCAGCCAATCAATTCCTTTTTCGGGTTGATTACGGAGGTTACGGAAATTTCGGAGGTATCGGAGTTTTCGGAGATTTCGATTTACACGGTTGTGAAGAAACTAATTCTCCAGCTTTGGATGAGTAGGTTTCCTAAAGCATTAATAATTTCATTTTTTTAAAACTATTTTATTCTTGAATATAACAATGACATTGTAAATATGACGTCAATTAAGGGAATAACTCTCCTTCAGTTAATTAAGTTAACTCATTATGTCGAAAACAAATAATATCAATGTGGGAGTTCTTAATTATACGGTAATATATATATATATACAGTATATATGACGTTTTAGATATTTATCTTTAGGGAATAGCGATTGGCTTTGTTCTTCGATTTTCTTCTGTAATTACCAATTCGGCTTTTGTTCACGTCGCATTAAAAACCTTTCTGAATACGTACCTATCAATGTGAGAATGGCTTGTTATGACGTTATACAGCAAATTCTTCGAAAATAATCAACATAGGATTAATGTGGTTGGTTTTGCATCATACTTGCTTTTATGCATCATTAATTTGCGAAAATTTTCACAGCTCAATCAAGGTTTTGCGAAAGATCAATTGTGTATTTAAGTTGTTTTAAAGACTGTTTAAAAATCTGCGAATATAACGACCTCCCTCAAAATCGTTATGCTCTCCGTTCTAATCCTCCCTCTTTTTAAATGAAATGAATTAATTATTAATACGAAGAATTTTTCTCTTTTTTTAAAAATTTATTTATTGTACTAAAATATGTCGTTATTATATTTTATTTTTTTTCAAATCTTACAGATATGTACCCAGATTATACTTTTAAATTTTGCTAATAAAATCTTTGATGGTATGTGAAGAATTGTTAACAGTTCTTACCTAAAATTTTGTTAGACTTCTAAGATTTAATAATTAATATATAATCTTTCGTATAATGAATCCACTGGACTTGGATTAAGTGCAGAACTTTTTTATTTGATTGTTTCTTTTTTATTACTCATTAATCATAGACTATTGTGAAAATATATTTTAGAATTAAGATAGTTTAATTAGTATTATTGAAATAAAATTGCCCTTAGCGTAGAAGCTTACTTCGCTAGATCAAACAATATTTTATACCACAAACTTATAAATATTAATATCAAATGATATTTTTAAAAAAAATAGTCAATGTTTGCTTACGTGAAGGAAAGAAATTATTCCTCAATTAAGTTCTTAACAACTTGTCATCCACAAATCACGATCTGAACGAGAAAATTCCTTCTATTTTGGATGTCAATCGTTGCCATCAATTTTTGCTTTATTTCTTGTCTAAATTAAAAGTGAACAAGAACAAGCAAAAAAAGTATTGGATGAATAACTAATTAAGATTACTAATTGCCCCTTCAAAGTTTCTTTTGTATATGTTATCGAATGGCGGAGAAAATAAATCTGCCAATCTAATAATTTTTCGTCAGAAAACTCAACAATGTCGTATTATACAAGTGAGCATGACTGCATGGTATGTTTCTTCGAACTATAATAGAACAGTTGCAAGTTATATTGAAATAGAAAATATATTAAGTATAGAAAACTGAATAATTTAGAACGTATAAAATTAAAAAATACTTACTCATTCCGTAAACAAAACCAATATGGTTTTCTTGATCTCTGACACAGTTTTAATTTCTTTTTTGCTAGTTCAGTTATTTTTCAATTTGAATAATATCTTGATGTAATGTTTTTATTTCTTATAGAATTCATGAAAAAATCAAAAAAAAAAAAAATTAGAATAAATCTTTTGAAACGATGGTAAAAGCATAAAATAGAGAACTATAAGAATTCTTTGTGTATGTTCCATGACCTTTTCTATTGGAAATTGAAAAATTATTCTTCTAATGGAATGATTAATTTACTTGAAGATTATAGGAATATATTTTCGTTTCTTTCTCTTGAATTTTAATTATTTTCTCGGTCGGTTTAATGTTAATAAATATTTTCTTTGTTCATCTACATATTTCTGACCTGTTTTTAATTTTGCATTTAATCTATCAAATATCAATTTCCTAAGTTTGTTTCAAATAATTATATCTTAGCTCATCCATCTTTTAGTCAGTTTGAGCAAGTTTGCCCTAGTAATCAATATCCCTTGAATTTAAATAAAACTTATTGCTTATCCATTTAAATGAATTACCGAAACTAGCCCGTTATTTGAATGGCAAATTCTCTGCAAAACATATATCGTGGAACGTCACAAAGTAAGGGATAAGGGTGTAACATTGAACCACATTTCTTTATTTTTTTTCCAATTCGATTTGACCGTCCAACTTTATTACCAATTAAAGCATTTCGCAATATGTTGATCTTGTTTATCAAAACATTTTCGGCAGAAAGGACAAGTTGTACCAAAAAAAATCTATAAATTCATCAGTTTAATTTATTTTTTTTTTTTCACTTTGTATTTTTTTAAAAAATTTTTTTTTGCCCCAATTTACTAATAATTCACAGTATTCCACGGAGATGTCTATAGTCCTATATTAACGAAAGTTTTAACATTTACTACTATTAAACTGCGCAGAGAATAAAAAATTTTCGCAAAATCAAAATAAGGGAATACATAAATAAACATATAATGGCTAAAATAGTTCCAATTGGGGCGGAAGAAGATTTTAGTAAGTAAAATAAATAAATCATAATATTTTAGGAAAATATTCAAAAATATTTAATTTCATTATTTCTTTAGTTGTATTTGCGAAGAAGAATTACATAGTATTAAGTGTTGTTGGTTCGCTTGTTGCATTTGCAATATTAGTTTACCTTATAGGACGATGTAGAAATAGAAAGGTACTATATAAAACTTGTACATTTATTGATACATTCATTTCGTGTAATATACTAACTTCTTTATTATTTTTTAGGGAAATAATTTTGTAATGTTCAACTTTCTCCTTATATGTTATGATATAGCATTTGATTTAGCGTTTTTTATAAAGAATGCGAATGATGTTCCAGGATTATACAGATTGACGTAAGAAATATTAATAAGCTTTATTTACTATTTGAGCGGGTTAATCTTTTTTTTTTTTGACTAACTTTTGATATATTTTTATTTAGATTGATAATTTTAATAGCATCGGGATCACTTAACTTATTAATGAGTTTTGCAATAATTGTACATCAAAAAATTTACAATCCAGCATTTTCAAATTGGTTTAGTGAAAATCATAGATTTGCCGCATTAATCACAGTATTTTCGGCAGCGAATATACAAGCATTAAAGATATTTTCATCGAATTATGGAGGAATGAACATCCTTCAAGCAAAATATTCTACCAATGGAAAAAGAGCCATTGCTTGGGGTGGTGTCTTAAATCTTGCTTTTCAAGATATACCTCAATTAGTTATTTTAGTAAGTAATAAAAGAATTACTTATATATGATTATTGACCAATAAAACTGAAATATTGATTGTGCGATTAATTTTTTTTTAAAAAAAATCACATTTTTTCATTAGGTAATTTATTGGACCAAAACGGAAGGATATATGATTTTCCCTTTTATTAGTCTGATATTCAATGTTGTAATTTTATTTATTGATTTCTTTGGAAGAATTTTTGATGCTATCATTATTCAAAATGATGATGATGGAACAACACGTCGTTTGAATGATCGTTCAAGTGAAAGCACTTATCAATATAGTATGCGAGTTGGAGCTCCTTAAAAAAACGATTTTTTTTTCCATAGATAGAACTTAATAATTTTATAATATAATCTTTCATTATATGTCTATGGTGGACGAGTAGCATATTGCGTTATTTACATAGAGGAGAATGTGCTGATCAGTTATAGAACATATTTTATTCAAGTATTTAAAATTTATAATTATATTTGGGCGGACAGTTATATAAGTGAGGCGACAATATTGCTGGTATCTGGGTAACTATAATAGACATATATAGTAGAAATCTATTTACATATATTTATTTATTTTTATGATAATATAGCGCACCAATTCATTGAATATACTATATTAGCATCACCTAATAAATCACGCATAATTCTCATGTTTTGAATCGTATCCTCTCATTATGACTTTGATAACCTTTGTGTCATGATCTTTAAAGAAAATACGAGACAGAGAAAAACGAGGCTATTATGATCTGGATGCATAATAGCAATGTTATGTATGAATTGATATCTTCTTTAATAAGAATTGTCTTCCTATACCGGAGAGAATTTATTGCATTTATGTGAACTTTGCGTGATACAGTTTTAAAATTATGGTAAATCCATTTTTAATATTATGGTTAGCAATTCTTAAAATACTTTTTCTCTTGTCCTTTTTTTTGTTGAAAAAACCTATCCATTTCAGAGTCAGAACATTTCGGTAATTATGTAAATTCGTAAAATTCAGATTTTTTAATAATACCGTATGTTAGATTCGCGCCCCAACACGCAATATTGAAGTATATGATAACAACAAAATGGTAGATAGTCGAATCATCATATATTGTGAGCGAAGCCTTTAATTATAATTTGTCTCGAAGAAATAAAAATATACATTAATCTTTCGTATCCAAAATTCACAGAACTAAAAAATGTGAATCCTAATATCTCGGCCAAATCTTGAAATTTCCGAAGAAAGGATTCCTATGCCTTAGTCCCACAATTGATTCACCAGAACTTTTTATCATCAATTATCTAACATTTTGAAAATTCTATCCGTTGTGCCCGTAATATGAAGTCATAGACTCCAAAATACATATTTAAGACAAAGTTCCAAAATTTTCAACCTGAATAATAATTGTCATAATTGTCATGAAATAAATAGCGGAACAACGTTTATCCTGAGTTTGAATTCGGTTTCTTAAAAAATTACTCCGTGAAAACGGGAAAATAAAAACGAGAAATTATTCTGTTATGTTGACTTACGAGAGAGAGATAAGTGGAGTGAAAGACAAGATAATCTTAGTGTTTATTACTAAAAACAAAGCAATGAAATTTACATATCTGAACAGGCGATCTTCCTATTTGACATCTCGACTAAATTGCCCAAAAAGCTACGGACGAAAGGTTATTGTTAGATCCGGAGTTTATCCCGTGTTTTTTTTTTGATCATTCTGAATGGTCTTTTTTGGATGTCGGATGATCGTGGCATCTGTTTCAATGAAACGAAATGTCACGATACATAGTAATTCGAGAATTAATTAAAGTTCAGGTTTTCAAATTATTGTACCGCCACCAAAAGATATTCTTTGTTGAGCCGTTGGGAGTGCGGTGCTGATAACCAAATAGGAACTTAGTGAAGAGAAGCATCTACACAGTATCTACACTAGCAGAAGATCTGTAAGAATAACTGAGAAATTAGATTATTTGCGAATATAATCAATCATTTACATTATCTTATAGTAAATAAATAAATGGCTTCTATCTTAATATTTATTCTGAAAAAGATTATTTATTACACCTTTCTTTGCAGTTTCTAAAATAATTATTTCTAGAATTAGGCGCAAAGCTCTATTCAATCATATACAGTATATGTGTATATGTATGATTGAAAAGAGAGCATTATTTTTTAAGGCAAACATCTCTTTTCGGTTCTGCTAGACATTTTCTTTATTTTGTATAATCAATGTATTGAATCTTTATAAACCCTGAATATATGAATACAATCACAGGCAACATCTATAAATAATATTTCAATGAATTTGGTTATCATTCGTCGATTTTAGTTAATTTTTGTCTTGCTGATAACTAATTTTTTTCTTGAATAAAAGATTTTGAAATAATTTGCAAGAACTTCGTTCTTTTCATAGTTTTTTTGGCTCTCGTCTTTCTCGAAATTAGTATTTTTCTTTCGTCCTCGTTAACTACTACTTGATTTTGTAGATCGTTAATCACTTGATAATAGATTTCGGAAATAATTTGCAAGTATTTCATTCTGATTCTATTTTATTCTGGTTTTCCTTTCGTTCAAGCTTCTCCTTTTTTTTGGATAATAAGTCTTGGAAAAAATTTGCAAGTATTTCATTTTTATTCTGATCCTGAACTGTTTTAGTTTTCTGGGTTTCTTCTCGTTCAACCTCGGTTTCTTTATTTTGCATCTCTTGTTTAACATCTATTTGATATTGTTGAACGTTAATCTCCTTTTTTTTGGATAATAGGTCTTGGAAAAAATTTGCAAGTATTTCATCTGTCTTAGTTTTCAGACTCTCGTCTTGTTCAGTTTCTTTGTTTTGCTGACTATTAGTCTCTTCTTTATTTTTCTTCCTTTCCTTCAGTTGTTTTTTTAATTCTTCATTTTGAGCTTGTAATTTCTCAATAACTCGTTGTTTTTTATTATTAGCTTCTACCTGTTGAGTAAGTTTGGCTTCCGCATCTTTAAGTTTCTTTTGCTCTTCATGTAAATATTTATCACTGGTTGCTTGATTTTCTACTAATTGTCTTTTTAAATAATCTACTTCTTTTTTTAACTCTTCATTTTGAACTTGTAATTGTTCTAACGAAAATTTGGCAAAATTACTTTCAGTCCATTCATTTTTAGTTTGTTCCAATTTATTCAGGATATTTTCTCGTTGTATCGATAAATTAACTTCCTTACTTTTTAGTTTATTCATTTTTTGCTAAAGATACCCGGTTAAAAATTTTTTCTCATTGATTTATTCCTTTTAAGTTGGTTAATGGTTCCACGTGTAATACATGTTTCACGCATTTATGGGACCGTTCCACAAATTTTTCTTGAATATCCGAAGCGTACTGAACGACCCCTGAAATATGCTAAATAAATGACACGTAGATCACGTAAACGGTTTCCGTTTTCCTCGTTTTTCCTAGTATAATTATTCTTTTAAATTAATTACAATAAGCAATCAATATATTTTATTGAATAATAAGTATTGAAAATATTTACATCTATAAATGAAATTTGAAATTCATTTAACTTGATGGTCCAAACGTACGATTTTAATCACATAGCACGGTTTCATTTTTAATATTTTTCTTCAAGTAAACAAATAATTTATTTCACGAAAATTACTATAATAATACCAAGAGAATCTCAAAAAATCTGATACTCAATTTTTGACGGGTTTAAAGTAGAATACCCCATTGTTCGTTATAGATGATGGACGAGCGATCATATTAAAATTCGGTTGCATATCTATCATCAACGATCACCGACAATGATGATGCGGAATATTGATACAGTGTTCTAATTATATTTTTCCCAGAGAAAAAGACACACCGATAATCTTTGAACCAATTATATTGAGAAGTCACATTTTCGCGTTCAAATATGTACCGTTTTATAGTTATAAGACTGAGACGAAGAATTTTAAGAATTTTGAGCAAACCCTGGTCAAACATTTAACTTTATTAAGAAATTTTATAAAGGTGAATGAAAGCATAAGTAAATATCATAAAATCAATGAAAAATACTACATAATTATTATTTGTTTATTAAAGAATTGATCATACTAAATTACATAGTTACTATAAGCTTAAGTTTAAATATTGCATAGATGGTAGTCATATATGTAATAATATAATATTTTACTTGTTCCTTAAACCGTAATAATATAATATTTACTTGTTCCTTAGACCGTAGAATATATAAAATAGAAATAACTCAATGCGTAATAATAAAATCTTAATGCATAATACTCAAGTTTTCAAACTTTTCACTAAACGCTTTTAAACTAAAGTCTTCTTCCATTTCTTTTTCAAGCATTTCTGGATTTATAAACACATCATCATCCTTCTCTTTATTTACTTTATTCATTTTTAATTGATTAACCTCTTCGATGATAAATGGCTTATCATATGTAAGTTCCTCTAAATGTGTTAATGTTTGTTTGATTTCTTTTAATTGATTTTGGTGGTTCCATACATTTATAAAATATTTATTTTTTTGTAAACTTGACATATTCTCCCATGCAATTCTAGCTGATTTCATAGCTTCTGTACGTTTAATTTTTCTTGTTTCACAATTATGACTGTAAAATTTTTTTGAAAATAGAATCCAGGCGTTTGGAAAACGAGATCTCTTATAGGGTGCCGATTTTCTAATAGATTTTGGGGATTTATTACGTGGCATTTTCAAGAACGAAAGAAAGAAATATTTTGAATTTATTATTTAAAGTTATGTCAACTCCTTTTATAATATTTTTTTGATTTATTGCTATTTTCATCATTCTTATTATGTGGCGTTCTTCATTAGAATAACTATGCCGTAATCATTAAAATTATTCGGGTATTGAATCCCGATTGATAGGCAACTTATAGATGTAAAAAGTACCATTTACGATTTTTTTTGGAAATGTAAATTAAAGACGATCAATGCCTCCCTTTCATTCCGTTACTTATAAGGCAATTATCGGATCTATTTCCTTTCAACTTTATAGAATATATTATTTAATTGAACTCATTAATTAAGGAACATCATGAGATAGATTAAAGTATGAAATTAATATTGTAAAATATTATAGCGAATAGAAAATTGAGATTTATACATGATAATTATTATTAAGTAAATTAACGATCAAATATATTCATAATTGGCTAATGTTTTAGTCACAAAATCATATTTGGTTACTAAACAGATCAGGAAATTTATCTATTTATAGATATTCCATAATATAAAAATATGTTAAACAAATTGGAATGATCAATTTTAATATAATAAAGTAAATAACTTAATTTCTTATGACTAATAACTTCTTAAAAAATATCAAGATTTCTCTCAAACTTTTCCTTTAAATTTCTTTACTCTCAAAAAGCTTCAAGAATATTTTATGCAATTTAATCTACAGAAACAAATGTAAGTACTATTTAACATTGATATCTTTAATTTGAAATATATTGAGTGTCTTTCAGAATAAAGACAAATGCCATATGCTTATTTCTAAGTAATAATATGCTCATTAGCATTTCTTACATAATGACCTAGTAGTTATCATGTATACACTGTATAACTAATACCTTGCGCGCGAGATTTGCTATGTCATCTGAAAATTCTTGAGTGTTTAAAAATTAATAATAAATCTGGGAACCGGAATAAATTGTTTATTGTATATTTTTGGTAATTGGTAAAAAAAAAATAGTATTATCATAATTTTTATTATTTATGTATTTTTAAAGTTCTATTGTTCAATTGTTAAAATAGAAAAATAATCCAACGCCAAATAACTGAGAAAAATTTTTTTGTTCAGTACATATTTAATTAACTGGAATTGTATTAGAATCGGGTGGTATCGTTAAGATCATTTTCAAATGTACGTGATTCTAATGGCTAAATTGATCACTCTCTTTAATTTCAACGCCAATTAATCACACATCCACACTAGCTGAAATTGTATTTAAAATTGGGATGCATCATTCAGAAGTTTATTGTTCAGTTATTAATAGAGAATAGTCCAGAAACATGAATTGTATTAGAATTGCATGGCATGATCGTCAAGATCATTTTCGAACGTACATGTAATTCGTGATAACTACGCTTGTAAACAATCACGTGATCATGCTATAAATAAGTGCACATTCCACTTTTCCCCGTATATATTCCGTATACATTAATATTTTAAAAAAATGAATTCATAATTCATATTAAATATCGGCATTAACGATGGCACCGTACCGCAATTTCTCAAATTGAAGATCACTTGAAAAGCATAGTAATATTATAGTTCTGTAAACAACATTTTTCACATATAACATTATAATAAAATAATATTTTATTGAATTTGGAAATTAAGATCTATCTATATGATGCTTCTAGACCGGGGTAGGCCCAAACACATGAGTCTAGTTATTTATTGTTATTTTTGAATTCGTCACGATTTAGCGATCGGCCGAGTCACCTCACTCCCTCTACACATGTCAACAACAAGCACTTAATTTACTAAAAGCTCCACTAATAATGATTAAAGAACTTATAGTAAGTGTTATAAATGGAATAATATTGTAATTGACAATTTTAAGTTTATATATAACCTAATAAAAAAAAAAAGTTAAAAAAAATTGAAAATTAACCAAAATTATGTCAAAAAATTATGCTTAACTTACTTGAATGATTAATTGAGGAACGTCTTCAATAATAAACATTAAAAATCCAGCCCATATAATCAATTTTAAGGTTTCTTTAGATAAACCAGCCTCTTCAGATGACCCATGTTCTTCAGATGAACCAGTTTCTTTAGATAAACCAAGCGGACATATACTTAAAGTTTCAATTTCAATTATACCACATATACAGTAGTAAATAATAAAGCTTTTGGTCTACTTCTTTTAAACCAATCTCGAAAATTTTCATCACCAAAAGTAGTTTTTACTATAAGTACTAAATTAATTACTACCGGGGTTATTAAAATTATAAAACTAAAAAAAAATTTTAAATTTAATTATTAAATCAAACCAAAAAAAAATATTTAAATAAATAAATTAAAATGTTCCAATACCTTGGTATTTGTAAATCAAATTTTTTACTATCAACAATAGCAAAATAAAAATCCATTGTGAAATCTGAAATAATTAGTATAATCTTTAAAAAGTAAAATTTTCCCCTAAATTTTTTCCATTTTTCTGGATGCTCATTTTTACAAAAGATTACCATCGCAATTATTAATGATGTAATGATAACACTAGAAATAAATATGGCCTTATATTTATCGTATAAATCAACTTTTTTTTTTTTAAAAAAAAAGAAAAGAAAAAATATTATTAGTATATTTTAGAGAAAAAAAAAGAACATAAATAACAATTTTAACAATTTTAACTTACTAGTTACTTGAAACTATCCAACATATAAGTATTATTATATAAGGATATTGGTGTGTAAGATTTAAATTTTATTAAAGTATTTACAGTCTGACCTTGATATAACGAACCCACGATATAACGAACTCTTGACTTACCGAACTTTTTTTAAAAACCGGGTTCATATTATTTAAAAAAATCTCGATATACCGAATTTCATATAAACTCGATATAACGTATACCGAACTTTTATGATTTACCGTTTATAATAAAGCATATAAAAAAAATTCTTTATATACCGAACTTGATCACGTGGTTGAAATTTCACATAATTTATACTGTTAAATCTTAATTTCTGGCCAAAATTAATATTTCTTAATCACGTGACAACTTTATATACCGAACTGCTACTGTAAAACTTATGGAGTTCGATACACAAAAAAAATTTACATACCGAACTTCTACTATATACCGAACTTTTACCCTTGAACCGCGATTTCGTTATATTGAGGTTTGACTGTAAATCTTTCATAATATTGTTCGCACTGGATTTAAATGGATCATCAGTTGCACTTATTGAGAATAAGAGTACAACTTGTCCTTGATCATTTTGATATATTTCGGTAGCCTTTATACGATCTGGACTTACAGAAGCTGCTTCTGATAGTTCAATAGCCAAATTATCTCTAATTTTCTTCTTTTCATGTTCTGATTGTAAGTTTAAAAATGATTTTGAACTTTTTATGTCAAGTTTTACTGAACCATACGAATCACCTATTTTAAAAGTAAATTTAGCAATTAATTCATACCTGTAAGAATATACCACTGATTTTTCTTGATACCCAAAAGAGGTTCTTCTGTGTTTTTATGATTCACAAATCCATCTTCAATAACTACACAGTAAAGTTGATTTGGTTTATTAAATGTACTTTCAAAAACATTTATTGTAATTTTTTTATTATTGTCGCTTGACAAAAATTCCATAGTCTGTCCATTAAAACTTTGTCGAAAATAACTTTCTTTTCCATTTACTTCAAAGATTGAAATGTTTCCTGAAGAAAGTTTTACAGGTGATTCGTATGTAATGCTCAAAGATGGAGTTTGCATAGGAATAGTATCATTAATTTTTGGAGTTGTGGCATCGATAATTGGATTAAAATAACCCTCATCTATTAAAAATAAAATGATTAGATTGTTATATTATATTCATTCCCATCTTGTATTAGCAATTAATTCTCAAAATTTATTATTACCTTCTATGAAACTAGGTAATTCTGAATAATATACATTCCAAATATCACTTGTACCTTCTTGCTTAATTGCAACAACTGAATTATTAGGCATTGGAGCGTATCGAGTACCAAACTTTGGTAATTCAATGGTAACAGGAAGATTCCAACTTCCTTGAAATGTTTTATTTGTGTCAAGTACATGATAACCTAATACATTATCATTTTTTTCATTTATTCTAGTGTGTATGGTAAGTAAATATCCTATGAAACCAAAGTTAATATTATTATCTATACGCGTTTATCTAGTATATTCAAAACAATTTGTATCATACCTCCATTAAATAAAATTGACATTGACATGAAAATATGGTCAATATTAGTTATGTTTAAATCTCGAATTTCTTTAATATCCGTTACAGAACTACAAATAATAGCAAAATTCAATTAACACGCGGCATCCTTTTTAAAGAATTATACCCAGTGGATGTAAAATCTACTTGTACAAAATATCGTCCACCATTAATACTAATTTCAGATACTTCGATAAAACAAGAATAACCAACAATAATAAATGAATTTCCACATGTGATATCATCAATTTTTAATGGTGGGTTATTAGTATTTTGATAAATCAAAACGGTTTTTGACACTTTATTTGTTTTAGCTTGAACAAATGTCGCATAAACCCATAACTGGGGATCGACTGGTGATCTGAAAGATGATGTAGAACCAAAGGTTATGACGCAATATCCATAACCCATTGTTGGAAATGCAATGAATCTTGTTTCGGAATGTATTTGTGTAAATGTAATAGTATTCTCATTAATTAAAAGGTTATTTGTCCTCTTTCGTAACTATGTAATAGCGAAGTTATTTTACGTTATTAATATATTTAAAAATTAAATTTATTCAAGACATTGAAAAAACTTACGGAGGACTAAAAAATTTCCATTTTATATTGTATGAACCAGTAATAAATTCGGAAACAAAGAAACCTAACTCTGGTTCGATAGCAAAAAAATTAATTTTACTCGAAAATTGCACACCCTCGTTATTAATATATGCTAATTATTCCTGAAAATAATTAAAATGGTATTCAATAAAATAATAATAATAATAATAATTAGATTGCTATTTATTTTATTCTTACGAAAGTATTTCACCCTGCCAATTTATAATTAATCCAAATACAGCAACGTCCGTTGTATTTAAATAAGTTACTAGTAAGTATCCTGGAGTTAAAGAATAAACACGTAATCCAGGTTGTCTTTCAACTCCTATATCATATTCTACGTTTTCATCACTTTTATTAAAATATTTACAGCTATTAAAATTAAAATCTGGTACTGGTAAAGACATATCAATAGGTATAATAGTCCCATTTGTTGAATGAATTATACGAAATCTTAGTATCGGTTCAGAGCAATCTTTGCCATAAAGGTTCTTAACTACAACCAGAGCTGAGCCATCAATGTAAGGTTCGATACGGAATGCTTGTAGTTCTGGATTACCTTCTGCATAATGAACATTAATTTCAAAGGAATATTGCTATTGAAAAGTATTGGAGTAATAGTATAAATAATACAATCATTGCCATATTTTTAAATTTCTTGGTGACCATAAAACCGAAGGTATTAAATATATTTGATTTATATCAATTTTTTTTTTTTTTTGTTGTCTGTTTTTTAATAATGATGAGCAATATTTATAATTATTCACATCTTAATTATGATAAGTATTAAAAAAAAATTTCAATTAAAATATTTATGGTTAACAAATTTCTTTGTTTTTTTTAACGAATAAAAGTAGATCGTTAATTGCTTGAATTGTAAAATAAAAACTTTGCACTCTACCGTGGACCAACTGGACCATCCAGGCGACGGGGCAGTGGCTGTGCAGTGCAGTGACGGGCAGTGACGGGGTAGTGCCTAAATGATAAAAAAAAAATAAATAAAGGCCCAATTGGCGGAGAAAATTTTAGTTACACGAGCTTTGATTTCCTTGGCCCCTATAAAAAAATTCTGGAAAACTCCGATAAATGATCATGTTTTTAGTTTTTATTCCGAAGAAACTCAGACACGTAATCATTTTTCTGAAAATTTTTTATAGGGGGGAGTGTAACATATTAATTTTAATAATATCGCGTTTTATTTGCTTATTATTTACTTATTTATTTATTTATTTTGGTAATACTATTTACCAAATTTATCCATTACGATAAAAAGAAAATTGTTCCTTTTTTTTTTATTTGATATCAATTAGGTTTAAGATTTTAAAAAAATGTTTCATCAAAACTCTTTAATAATAAATAAAAACCTCAGATAAATTACATATGCAGATACAGTGGCGGTCAAAAGTATTGCATCGCCTTTTACACTATAAATTACAAATGATAGTTATAATAAATTTATATTTATTTTATACCTTGAATCTCAGAGGATATGTTACAATTATTTTTTTGTTCAATTCATAGTAAAATCTTGTATAAATTACATAATTTACAACAATTTAAATTTTCGACTTTTTATTGGGAATATTTATGATAAAATAAATGCCCGAATATGATTCTTTAAGTAATTTATAATTCGTATTTCAAAAATTGTAACAATTGAATCAGTAGTTGTGGAGAAATCGGCCTTTAAAAATCATGAAAAATACTGAAAATCGCCATTTTACATATGTGTAACCTTAATTTTTACCGATTTTTAAAGCTAATTTCTCCATAACTACTGGCTCAACCATTACAATTATTGGAATATGAACTATATATCACTTAAGGAATCAAATTCTGGCATTTATTTTGTCGTAGCTATTCTCAATAAAAAGTCAAAAATTCACATTTTTGTAAATTATGTAATTTATATAAGATTTCACTATGAATTGGACGAAAAAATAATTGCAATATATTCTTTAAGATTCAAGCTTTAAAATAAATATAAATTTATTATAATCATCATTGTAATTCATGTTGTAAATTTAGGTCAAAAGTGATGCAATACTTTTGACCGCCACTGTATATGGTTAAAAATTCTTAATAATTTGGATATTTAAATAAAATTAATCGTTAAAAAGAAAATATCGCATAATCCTTTTTATTGTGATTTCTGAGATTTTTAGATCATCGGTAATAAGAATGTTTAATTATTGTCGCGTTAAAGTAACATCAACTGTTAAAAGGACTAATCCAAGATTTTTATTTATTTTATTAGGTTTACAAAAATATTGGCAGTCGTATATGTGCTTATTATAACAATTTGTCATATGATTAATAATAGATGGGCTAATTATACAAATCAATCCCTAGCTGTCATTTATAGATCTGCATCGAATTGGTCTGTAAGTCGGAACATCCAATAAATGGTGATACGAATATTTCAGCTTATTCTTCTTCCAATTTATTAGTAAGTATACACGTTTGTGATTTTTATGGTTTTATTCGTAAATAAATTTAATTATTATTTCATTTTATAGATTATGTTTAGTTATGATGGATGGAATACTTTGAATTGTAAGTCATTTAAATTTTTTTTTAAAAAAAAATTAATTAATGTATTCGTTATCAATAATGAAATTGTTTATTTTTATAGACTCGCTAAATGAATTCCGAAAACCGGGAAAAAAAACTTATTTTCAGTAATAGTATCAGTGTCGGAATTGTTACATTAATGTGTATGTACAGTAAATAATATTCTAATTTCTAATTCATTTATATACATATACAGTATGTATGTACCGTAACCGTTTTAGATCTTCTCGTATGCATTTATTTCAGTTGTCCACAAGAATCTATATCAAATAATAATAACATAGATGAAACTATAGCCGCAACATTCTTTTATAGATTTTTTGGTAAACCTAGTCGTAAGACTTTTTACCGCTCTGATTGTACTTTCTGTAATAGGTACCGCAGCAGCAGGAGTGTGGAGGTAAAAATTATATGATTAATATTAATATTATTTTTCCTTTATATTGATAATAATACTAACAAATTTGTGTTTAATAAAAAAATTTTAGTGAATCAAGAGTTATTGTCGCAGTAGCAGCATCGGATTTTTCCCAAAATACTCGAAAGAATTAAGAACCCGGAATCAATATTTTAATACACCAATAAATGCTTTATTATTACAGTTTATTTGGTGTTCATTTATTATATTGTTTGTTGGAAGTAGTTTTACTATTACAAGTTTTACGTTAATTTCAACTTTTTCAATGTATAGTTATTGGATTTTTTATTTCGCTACTGGTATAGGTTTATTGGTATGTGTTTCATTGATAATTTTTATATAATCTAAAAGATTAAAAAACTAAAATTTAATTTATAAATTATAGTTAATTCGGTGTAATAAAAAAAATGAATTGAAGAAAAAACAATTCGATATTAATGATAAAAAATTAAATGAAAATTCTAGCCTATTTTCAAATATAACTCGAGAATATAAAGTTCCATTACCTTTTGCAATAATTTTTATATTAGCAGGTTTATTCATTTTAGTGTTTTCTTTTGTTGTTAATGTTGAATGTCCTAAAGATAAACCAAATTGCGATCTAGAGAAAAAACGGCTCAACAATTAGCTCCGATACTTTATTAGTTATGGATTTCTTTTTGTTGCTTTAACATGTTGGTATTCCTTTTATTACTGGTGGGGTACTATAAAAGATCAAAGAGAAGCTGCTATTATGAGAATAGCGGATGAAAATGAAAAACCTTATGATTTTAATTAATTAATTTATTATTATTATATTATTATTTAAAATAGTTATTGGTAAATTAAAGTGAGAGGTGACGCAGAAAGACGGGTTACATTTATAATTACGACCGGTTCGTATTTGTAGCGCTGCTTTTTATTAAAAAAAAATTAGTTATTATATTAATATGTTAATACGACTTAGAAGTTATGAACATTAATAATAAAATATAGATATATAAATTTCAAAGTTTTTGAACTTTACACTACTTAAAGTACATGTAATATATATATTAATGGTACATTATTAAATGAGTTATAAATGATAAAAGTATTTTAAGTTATATTTTTAAATCGGTCATTGAGTGACGTATGGTGATATTTAGCACATACAATATAAAAGTAAGTAGTGTGACCAACGTTGATTGAAATAGTTCTTATTAAATGTAATGAGAAATGAAAAATTACTCATTTGATAGTCATAAATTATCGGAGATATATACTATTACTCATATAGTCATATCAGTCATATGAATAAAAATTTAATCATACAAAAAAATTTACTCATGCCATTACATAATCTTAATGTGGATTAGACCGACAAACATCAGTATGACAATTAAGGAGTTGTGACTAATCAATTTATTATCTTAAAAAAAAAAATATATATAAATATCTTTACTTTCCCTTCGTTCTTGTGTGTGTGTGGTGTGAGGTGTGTTAGGTGTGTTAGGTGTGTGGGTGTGAGGGGTGTGTGTGGGTGTGTGTGGGTGTGTGTGGGTGTGTGTGGGTGTGTTGTGTGTGTAGGTGTGGGCGTGAGTGTGTGTGGTGTTTGGGTGTTTGGGTGCGTGGATGTGTTGTGTGTGGGTGTATGTGTGGTATATGTTTTGTTTTCCCTCGCTCTTTCCCCTTCCTTTTCCCTCTCTCGTTCCTCCTTTCCCTTTCCCTTTCTCGTCTTTTTCTCTTCCCTTTTTTTCGAGGTCCTGATCAAAGTTGCTGCACCTCAACGTTGGTGATCAGGTGACAACAAGTTTTTAAAGACTTGGCTAAGTCAGCAACAATATAAACCGTCATATTTTTAAATTGTTCTTATATTGTATAAATAAAATCCAACAATGTATTTAATAACCATTATTCTGATTATTAAAAACTCATTCAATTTTTAAATTTTTTGATAAATTTATTTAGTGGTGTTTCAATTGGTATTTTTTTTTATAAAGTAAACAATAAAATCAATATTTCTTTTATTTATTATTATTTCTTTTGCTCAAAAAAAAAAAAAAAATAGATTTTACAATCGTCGTGTACTTTAGAAAGAATTTTGAGATTAATTTGATTAGTATTTTATTTATTTATTTTTTTTTTTTAGAGATTTTACGAGGCGAATTCATAATAAATCGAACAAACAAATTTTAGGCGTTTAAAATATCTATTATCATCATAGAAAATCAAAATTTTACATAGTTTACATTGTTTTCTTATTATGTGCCTACTCCAATCTCGCGTACCAATCACGTGTATTACGCGATATTCATGATATCATATACTATTAAAAATCATCTTTTTTTGATAAGTTTCAAATTATACATAAAGTTTCGAGTGATTTTTTTAAGAGGTTTGAACCTTCGAAACTTATTTAAATAAATTTTTTTTTATACATAAAATTTTGATTTTTCATCAAACTTTTGAAACATTATTATAATTTTTTTTAGCTTAATTTTTTCATACGTCAAAGGAACGACTCCTCAGTGGATTCATTGGGGTTAGTGTTGATAGTTATATATTTAGAACATCATTAAAAATTAAAAGTGAAATTAATTTTATATATAAAAAAAAAATTTTTTATTTAAAAAGTATCAATCATTAAGTATTATCTGTTATGAATTCCCTTACCTTAAGATAATCTGAAAAATTTCAGGCGAAATATTTGGTAATTTAATATGTGATAAAATGTCATCATTTTTCTTTTTATTATTTGTTGATAAAATTCTTCGTAAATAAGGAGAACGATAATGTAAAATAACCATATGAGCATGAAATAATTTTATATAAGGGTCGTTACCAACTTCAATAGTAATATCATAATATTCTTCATCATTTAAAATTTCGAGTAAATTTTGGGTTCATATTATTATCACGTCATTTTCATGGGTTTTTATTTCCATGTAGGACACTGTCTAAACCCGCAGCCCTTCCTCAACAAACAACAAATGATTTATTGATCGCTCACGGATTTTCTTTTCACTGATTTTTAACCGAAAAATAAATTTGGAATTATTAATCGGAATTTACAATACTACACGTACCTTAATTATTGGAGAAATCGTACCGCATAGAATAATATGCTCTTCACTTTTGTAAATCGTTCCTTTCAATATTTTAACGAAAAAATTCCTGTGTTATACACTGTATGTATCTTACCCTTGATTTTTTTTCTTATTCCATCAAACCATATAATAGTGATAATACGAACCCACTATGTTCCGCATGTTTGATTATTTCAATGATTCGATACTGAATTTATATATATATATATATTTCAAACATTCACATTAAACTGATCCGGAATGATTATTCGAACTATGATATAATAAAAAAAAATTGTATCTAAATAACAGGTTGTGGTTTCATTTGATGAATCTAGGAGAAAAAGAAACCAATTATAAAAATAAGATAACAAGGTAAAAAAAAAGCCACAACTTTCGACTTCTCGTCCAAATAATCCTCAAGCAACAATATTCGAACACACGACCATAGCAGTCCAGAAAAGAATACCAGCGTAACGTTCACCATAACCTTTAACAAATTTAATAAATTTCATATAGTAGAGAAGACTAAGAGACCACAGTTAAAAGAATTTGTAAGGATCCCTAATCTATTTATGATGATTATATAAAGTCAATCAGGTGTAAGTTTTTTTACAGTAAATGAAAATAAATTTATTTCTGAAATAAATTTTAGCTAATAGATTTAAGTATTTAATCTTAAAATATCAATAGATACGATATTGGAAAGGTAGTAGAAATAAAATTATTTCTTGGTCTGTTAATATATTAGTCATTGTATAATATGATGCAGAATATTTACAAGCAAATTGTTTAAAATATATACATATATATATTATATATATATTTTTACCGGAAAAATTTTGTGAAAAAAGGGGAGATGAGATTTTAATTATAGGATTTGATATTTTAAATAAAGACCTGTTTTTGTTCACCTTTTCATTTACCAAAAGTCGACTCAAAAATTTTGATAAGGGCCCTAAAATGGTTCAAAAAAAAAAGATTTTAATGTGATCTTAGACTAGAATCGAACTAGCCGAAGCACAGTTATGCTCTTCACTAGGATAAGATTTAAAAAAAAACTTAGATATCTGTTTTCTTAATCTTTTAAACACATAGGAGAAAGAAAAGAAACAGGTTAAAAGAAGAGAAACACCTTAATAATATGGAAGAAACTAACTAGAGCTGTGACTTCAAACACCAATCGGCAAACACAGGGCTGACCAGCCGGGAGACAGAGGGCATATGCTATGGGTTTATCACGTTTCCAATAAACCAAGGTCGTCTACAATCACATTATGTATATTATATTATACATATAGTCTAGTAAATTCAACCATTTTCATTACACTGGTAACCAGATGTAAAACCTAGACATCGTAAATGGGCGGTTTTACTAATAAAACTGCAAAACAAACTCTTTTTATACGAGAGAGATACCTCATCAAGGTTAACAGTTTATTAAAAAAAACTGCAGAACCATAGAAAAAAAAATGTTCAAAAATGAGATTTATATAAATAAAATAATTTGATATTTTGAAACTATGACTCAAATGTAGTGTTACATTTTGATCAATATTACATGTATTACATGATGGTTTAATCGGATCGTTGATGCAATTTTAAAATCCGCATGGTAATAAAAAATTTACATAATATAAATTTTTATACTTCCTTTCCCCTTCCTCTCTCCCTTATTCTTCATTCTTTCCTCTTTTCCCTTTCCTCTTTTCCTTTCCTTTCCTTTCCCTTTCACCTTCTTTTCCCTTCTCTCTCTCATTCGCTTTCCTTATTCCCCTTTCCCTTTCTTAATTCCCTCATTCTTTTCCCTTTCCCTTTCCCTTTCCCCTCTATCGCTTTTCCTTCCCTTTCCCCTCCTGATCAATGTTTCTGCACTTCAAAGTTGCCAGGTGACAACAAGTTTTTTGACTAAGTCAGCAATGAATAGTACCGATTTGTTCATTTTTATTAAATATAAAAAATTTTTCTTAAAAAAAATTATAGCTTTTATAATTGTAATAATTAGCTAATACTAAAATAATAAATGTAAAAACAATTTTAACATTTGGATTCAGTTAGTCGGCATCACTAAGTCTGACTATATAAATATATATATAATATTATATCATGTAATTATGAAATTTCGTCCTATATATAAGCAAAGATAAGCTGTGGTGTATTTTATACACGGGTCATTTTTTCATCATACATCACACAAGTAGTTGATCCTACACAACTGGTTTTCGTCTTACATACCTACTCTATACTCAATACAATTTTAATAGCATACACCACTCAACTGCTGGTTGACCATACATTACTAATATTCTTTCCTTTTTTTACTTTCAGATTCAGTTCCGTCTCTGCTTGCTGAGGATCAGATTCTGTTGCAGCGCTGCAGTCTAACTAATGATTTTTTATTGGCGTAGGGTTAATTATTAATATTAACTATTATTAATACTTTTTTTTTTCTTTTTCTTTTAGATTCAGTCAGTTCTGGGATTTTTTTTAGGATCAGTTCGTTCTGCGATAGCTTGCTACAGTATTACATTAAATAGCTTCAGTTTCTTTTAGCGTCAGGCGATTAGTAATATTAAAAATTATTACTAATTGTCATTTTCTTTTCATTTTTTTTAGATATTCTGCTGCGGTACTGCAGTCCAATGGTAATTGGCTGATTTTTTTTTTGACGCTGTAATATTACTATTACTATTACTTTTTGACTTTTTTTTTCTTTTCTTTTAGGTTTGGAATCTTTATTGGTTGATTGCTGCTGCGATATTATAGTAAGTGGCTTCAGTTTCTTTTGGCATCAGGCGATTATAATATTAAATTATTTTCTTTTCATTTGTTTTTTAGATTTCAGTTGGACTCTGCTGGTAATGATTTTTATTGGCGTCAGGTTGATTTCTTTTAGTAGGTTCGGTCAGCTCCAGGATTTTTTTTTTTAGGATCGGTTCGTTGCTATGATTATTGCTGTGGCATTACGTTAAATAGCTTCAGTTTCCTTTGGCGTCGGGATTAGTAATATTAAGTTATTAATAAATTTTTTATGTCTTTTTCAGTTCCGTCGCTCTGGCTGAGAATCGGCTTATTCATTGATTGGTAATTAAATTATACTTAAATTAGTATGATTTCCATATGTATAAATTATTACCTAAACCAAAAGATTTGAAGTTATATTTATTAAAATCCTACTTTGTTTAAGTATGCATAAAAATGCTAATATATTTATAGTTAGAAATTTTTATTATGCAATTTCAGCCAATTCGGCATAAATTATCATCCAATTTTCCCAAATCTTTATATAAACAACCATTATTCATAAGAAATTGATTTGCAATGGATATAACTTTGTTATAATGAACTGCAATGCAGTGAAATGCGGTGAATGTACAACAGTGCAGTGAAACATAGAATATACAGTATTAAAAAAAGGACCCTTTCTTTTTGAAATGCACCATTTAGAAATTTAAATTTTTTAAATTGTTGACAAATAAAACTATTTATTAATAATGTCAATTTCTACTAATATCAAAGATTCAAGTAATAACATTAATTGGTTAGAAAAATCAGCAGAGAAGGGTGATAAAAGGTCAATGCACAATCTTGCCTTACATTACTACAATGGCAAAGAAACAGTAAAGGACTTGGGAATGGCCTTTCACTGGTTTCAGAAAGGGGCAGAGAAGGGTCATGAAAGGTCAATGCACAATCTTGCCTTACATTACTACAAAGGTGAAGGGACAGCGAAGGACTTGGGAATGGCCTTTTACTGGTATCAGAAAGGGGCAGAAAAGGGTCATGAAAGGTCAATGCACAGTCTTGCTTTACGTTACTATAATGGTGAAGGGACAGCGAAGGACTTGGGAATGGCCTTTTACTGGTATCAGAAAGGGGCAGAAAAGGGTTATGAAGGGTCAATGCATAGTCTTGCCTTATGTTACTATAATGGTGAAGGGACAGTGAAGGACTTGGGAATGGCCTTTCACTGGTATCAGAAAGGAGCAGAAAAGGGTCATGAAAGGTCAATGCACAGTCTTGCCTTACGTTACTATAATGGTGAAGGGACAGCAAAGGACTTGGGAATGGCCTTTCACTGGTATCAGAAAGGGGCAGATAAGGGTCATGAAAGGTCAATGCATGATCTTGCCTTTTGTTACTACAAAGGTGAAGGGACAGCAAAGGACTTGGGAATGGCCTTTCACTGGTATCAGAAAGGGGCAGATAAGGGTCATGAAGAGTCAATGTACGGTCTTGCCTTTTGTTACAATAAAGGTGAAGGGATAGCAAAGGACGTGGAAATGGCCTTTCACTGGTTTCAGAAAGGGGCAGAGAAGGGTCATGAAGAGTCAATGCATGGTCTTGCCTTATGTTACTACAATAATGAAGGAACAGCAAAGGACTTGGGAATGGCTTTTCACTGGTATCAGAAAGGGGCAGAGAAGGGTCATGAAGGGTCAATGCATAACCTTGCCTTATGTTATGAAAATGGTGAAGGGACAGCGAAGGATTTGGGGATGGCCTTTCACTGGTTTCAGAAAGGGGCAGAGAAGGGTCATGAAAGGTTAATGTACAGTCTTGCCTTATATTACCACAATGGTAAAGAGACAGCAAAGGACTCAGAAATGGCCTTTTACTGGTATCAGAAAGGGGCAGAGAAGGGTCATGAAGGGTCAATGTACAACCTTGCCTTATGTTATGATAATGGTAATGGAATAGCAAAGGACTTAGGAATGGCCTTTCACTGGTATCAGAAAGGGGCAGAGAATGGTTATGAAGGGTCAATGCACAACCTTGCCTTATGTTACAAAAATGGTAAAGGGATAGCAAAGGACTTGGGAATGGCCTTTTACTGGTATCAGAAAGGGGCAGAGAAGGATCATGAAAGTTCAATGCATAGTCTTGCCTTATGTTACAAAAATGGTAAAGGGACAGCGAAGGACTTGGGGATGGCCTTTCACTGGTTTCAGAAAGGGGCAGAGAAGGGTTATGAAAGGTCAATGCACAGTCTTGCCTTATGTTACGAAAATGGTGAAGGAATAGCAAAGGACTTGGAAAAAGCCTTTTATTGGCACAAAATAACTCCTGATACTTTTAAAATTAACAACTTATTATGTAAGGAATGCAATCAACCATATATTGATCACAAATGGTGCCAACAATGTAATATTAATCAATTTCAGCAAGATTTTTCAAAATGGACTAGTAAAAATAAATTTATTGATAAATTTATTCAAGAAGCACAACTAAATGCTAAAAGTAATTATGAAGTTTTAGAATGGATACCTTATAATAAATTGAATAATATTAATTATTATGATAAAGGAGGATTTAGTGAAATTTATAGGGCTATCTGGTTAGATGGACCTATTGATAGTTGGAACTTTGATGAACAACAATGGAATAGATGGACTGAATATGAGGTTATTCTTAAAAATCTTAATACTTCATCAAGTTTAAGTGATAAATTTTTAGATGAGGTATAGTATTTTTATTTATTAGGTACTAATTGTATATTTTATTTTATCTTATAGATTAATGATTTTAAATATTTACTCTATATAGTGGAAACATCATTATAATTGTCAGAAAAAATCATTTTCAAAATTTATTCAATTCTTTGGAATTTCTCAAGATCTAAATAATTTAAATTATGTGATAATAATGAGTTATGCAAAAAATGGAAGTTTGAAAAAATGTTTATCTAATATAGTTAAATTTAAATGGCAAACTAAATTGCAATTATTGAAAAAAATTATTTTAGGACTTAAAGTAATACATGAATCAGAACTTACTCATTGTGATTTTCATGATGGTAATATCTTAATATCAGATGATTATAATGAAATATATATTATTGATTTAGGATTATGCAAACCTATACAAAATTCTGATGATAAAATTGATAAAGTTTATGGAATTATACCTTATATGGCACCTGAAATATTAAGAAACAACCCTTATACTCCAGCAAGTGATATCTATAGTTTCTCAATGATGATGTGGGAATTTACATCAGGTATTCCTCCATTTAATAATAAAGCACATGATGTTGAACTTATTTTAAGTATTTGTGAAGGAGATCGCCCTGGAATTATAAAAAATACTCCAAAATGTTATATAGATTTGATGAAAAAGTGCTGGGATTCAGATCCTTCCAAAAGACCAAATATAGTAATTATTGAAAATACTATATCTGAATGGCTTAGATGTATTAATGAATATTATAAATTAAATGGTGAAGATGAACCAAGATATGAAGTTCCTAATATTGATAGTCAATTAAAAAATGATATGCATGAATTTATAAAAGCAAATAGAGTTTTGACACAAGAACAAGCTAATATTTCTGTTTTACAAACTCATCCACAAGCATATTATACAAGCCGCTTGCTTACTGAAATTTTATATCAAAATAATTCTGAGTGTTTGGATTGTATAATTTAAATTTAAATATAAATTTCTATAATGACTTTATTTTTTGATTTCATAAACTTTAAACAAATTTTATTTGTGATGATAAAAAAAAAGTATCATTTGCTAGTGCCTTAAAATCCATTCAAATGTTTTTATTTTTATATGTTATATAAAATAAAAATCATTTAAAATATCTTTTTTAACATACTATAAAAAAAATTAATATGACATATTAAATTATAAGCTGCTGAAAATTATAACAATATAAAGATTAAATTCACACACCTAATCTTTACATACATCACCTTTGGTGTTTGATGTGCCAATCTGCTCTAGAAACACTATCTCATTAGTATACTTTTCACATTTTCAGAATTTCTCCTTTTCTTCAAACATAACCTTAGAAAAAAATTAGCTTCTACTGTTAAATGTTTAAACTCTAACGACTCTTCCATCCTGGCTACTTTTAACACTTTATCAATATGGCATAAAGTCAATTCCACCTTTCCGTTGTCACATTTGCTAACCTCTCACGACCTTATATATAGTTTCATCCTGAAGGACTTAATCAATGTCTTTTTACACGTTTTTACTGAAAATGCTCTACCAGAATTATTTACTCTGCTCTCTTCCGCTTTCAACTTCGCATTTATTGTTATTTATACCCTTTAAAAAAAAATATTCAAAAAATGTGTTAATTCATATGATATTTATGCGATTTGGTACTATTTTATTCGATAAACATCTGAATTTAAAAAAAAAGCAATTTTAGTTAAATTTTAAGCATATAAATATCCTCCAAAAATCATTTAAAAATATACAAAAAAAGTCATAAACAAAATCATCATATTAACAATCAATTAATATACAAAAAAAATACAATTTTTGTTACTTAATCGTCATCCCATTCTTCTATACATTCCTTATCAATAATATACGTTTTGCATCCCAAATTCATAAAACCTACACATCTTTTTATTCAATGAATGTTGTAGCACTATCACCTTCTCCACAATATCTTCATTCATTAGTTCATCATATCTTGGCACTTCATCCATCAGCCCATATTCTGATACTTCATCTATTGGTCCATCTTCTGATGCTTTATCCACTGGCTCATCTTCTGATAATTCACCCGTTGGTCCATCTTCTGATAATTCATCCATTGGTCCATCTTCTGATGTTTCGTCCATTGGTTCATCTTCTGATAATTTATCTATTGACCATCTTCTGATGATTCATCTATTGGTTCATATCCTGATGCTTCATCCATCGGCACTAGACTATTATTTGCAAATTCATGATAGCAGTAATTTCAGAATTATTAGTTTACTACACATTACTTTGCATATCACTTAATTATCATATGTGACTTAGGTGTGTGACGGATGTAGATTGCTACCTGACGCGCGTCATTTATCACATAAGATTAAGTTATTGTTGAATATGTGGGATTTTAATGATGAGACATTCAATATTAAAATCGTTATTAGTAACAATAATTCCTATTGGTCATTGCAGTAATTCTAATGACCGAACTATAATTCAATTATTGGATGGGGATATCAACCTTTGATAATATCTCTTTTCCTCATCAAATAATTATTTATTAGAATTAAACATTAAATTTTCTAGACTTAATGATTATTTTTTTTTATCGTAAAATAACATTTATCACATTAAAAATAAAAAGTACGTAATTCTAAAATATCAAACTCATTGAAAGACAATTTATAGTAATTCCAAAATATTTCAAGTTTTTTCAAGTAAATTTTACAATATATAATTTCATTTAAATCAAATAAAATTTTCATAATAATTCCGACTGATTAATTAATAATTTAGCAGCTGTCACCTGACACGAACAGACACCTGAGACACAACACATATTATAAACACAACAGTATATTTGTCTGCTTAAATTTCATCTCATAAAACGAAGCAGAAATGGATTGACCATATTTCTTAAAATATAAAACAAATAGTAATTTTCGTGAATTGCTTACTATAATTTTAAAGAATAACATGTTGATAATATTAATTACGATTTTATGAATCCTATACGGTTGAAAATTAATCACGATTTTATGAAACCCATACGGTTGATGCCATCCTCAAAATTTGATATCAAACAAAAAATATTAGAATTTACTAGTGTACTATATTACATTTTTTAATTATTTTATTGTTTATTAAGAATGTGACTCATATATAAGAACGTAACCAACTCAGATAGTATTAAGTGAAATATGTTTGTTTCCAGAAATAATTGCAAATAATATATAACGTCGAGTTTCATTATTCACAAAAATATGAGTAAAATAAATTGCTAGTTTATAATATAATTTCTTATAAATGATAGTATACTAAATCTTAATCATTACAAACAAATAAAAAACGCCTTCAGGCAGGTTAACGAATTCACGCTCTAAATTGCAAATAACATCCAATTAATTTGATAATTTACTGGTAATTTGGGTCACATTTTTTTATATATCTCGAAGTGAAACAGTATCAGTAATCGACCTGACAGATTATATTCTATTTTCTAGTATATATTATATTCGTTACACCTAAAACTTGTGACTGCTTGGGACATATCCTCAAAGGACGACCTTAAAACTGTGTATCATTTGTTCAGAAGTTGATATTGGAGCGGGAATCAAAGAATAGAATAAAAGATCAAGAGATACAAGAACTTCTTCATTCGTGGTTTGAATAAATAAGCAGTGATATGGCAGTTTATTTGGAAAACGCGTGTTTATATTTGAGTGCAAATAAATTCAATCCAGAAAAGCAATATGATCGATATGATCGTTTATTAATATAATTACATCAATGAATAACTTGATTTAACTAAACAATCAGGTGAAATTGTTAGTTACATCTGATGATGAATTACTTCTCAAAGTGTTAGACATGTTCAAGATTATTTAATTGGAAAACAAACAGTTGGGTTCACAAAATTTTTGTTCTTGTTCTTAATGCTGTGTTTAGACTTGATAATTCTAAGAGACTACGAGATTATTGTCCTAAATCTATCTGCGAAGTTCCACTATAACTTTTTTCCTTAAATAAAAACTTTCCTCTCAATTAATAAGGAAATACTTCTGGCTTGCTTAAAACGAATTGAAGAGGTTATTATTTGGATTATTTAATTAAATAGGGTATTGAATAAACTCCTGGTCTTGGAATAAGAATAGTGATAGAGCGAAATGGATTAATAAAGATTATGAAGCATTGAAGAAGACTTTATCAAAAAAATCTATGCGGGAAATTTTCACAAATAGAACGAAAAGAATAAATTGATTTCTTGTAAAATTATTATCCCTAATCAAATTTATGAAAAAATTGAAGAATTCCATTATAAAGACGTCCTACCTAAAACTACAACTTTACCTCCTAGTACTTGGTTTTTCAACAAGAATAGGAAAAATTGATTCAAATATTATCAAATCAAAACTTGCAAAAATGATGGTAGTCGGGATGGAACAAGTACTGGATTATTTAGGAAACAATACAACGGTCGGGCAACAAGTTTATTCTTAATCAAGGTTAGTAAAATCACAAAGAAAATTTTTGGTGAATACAATTCTATCAAATTTAGTTCATTAGGAGATGATTATACTGAAAATGTTATTGGTTATCAATTTTACAGTTCGTCAGATAATTTTATTTTTTCATTTGAGGATACTCAAAATATGAAAATAAGTCAGATAGTAAATGAATTAATACTAAAAAAAATTGTAGCCATTTTTTCACATTACTCTTTCCCTCTCCACTCTTGTCATCTCTTACTCTTTCCGTTCTTACTCTCTCCGTTCTTACTCTCTCCCTTCCCTATAATCATTATAATCATATATGACTAATATTATTAGTAATAAAAAAAAACTAAATAAAAATATGAAAATTCTTATTAATTACAAGTAATGGTTAATGATATTATATACGTATTAACTATATAACCAATTATGACTCAAACATAGTGTTACGCTCTAATGTTATACTAAAAAAATGTATTTATAGTTAATAGAAATCTTTTATCTAATATGGAAATATTAATCGAAATTCTCACACCGTAGTCAAAAATTCATCGCGTGTGTTGAAGTTAGTTTTTCTTTCATTTATGCTTTAAAACCAAATAAGTAAATTTCGGAAAAAATCTTTTTAAATTTACTGATCTAAGTGGGTGACACAGTCTCATATACCGATATTAAACAATTTATAAAGAAAAATTAATTTTCAAACACAAAACCAAACGCTAACTAAAAAGAAATCTAACAAACGTCAACGTCATTGCCAAAGCAATTGTTATTATCACTTCTGAAATAACAACAAAACACGATGATGATTACTTGGATTACAATTAACTAGACAGGTCCAGGTAAAAAGTTGATGATCTATCTATATCTATTTAAATTCATAATATTTTGTCATTGCATAAATAACATACTATTGTTCGGATTTTTGATAATAACAAATCCAAACATGTGATCAAAATCAGAATTGATCACTGATCGGCTGATCGCAAAAATAACCAATTACTGATCAAGCTACACACCAATAATCAACCCAAATCCCGATTTAATAAGAGAAAAAAGTAGGCTAAAATAAACTATGATTTTGAGGGCTAGCTACTTAACTGTTATTAATAGTATAAGATTGATTAAAAGGAAGGGGAGTAATTGTATAATATTGTTGAGAATGATTAGGTACATACAGTATGTATTAAAGTTTATACTTTCATAAGTACGATAATCTTGAATGGATCTGTTATGTACTGTACATTATAATTATCCTCATAAATAATTTTTGCATAATTCATGAATTAAGTCTTTTCAAGTGAAATTTGAGATTATCCTGATGTCTCAGAAAATTCTTCTCGATGATCGCACTTGACGAATTGAATTTTATAAATAAAATTTATTGTCCGGTTATAATACAAGAGTTAAGCAATTTCTGTGTTCAAGAAGTCATTAAAGATATTTCAACCTGACAACTATAATCATACTATCGAAAGCCTATAATCTCGACACAAAGATTCAGACTAACACAAATTCCGGTTGAATCAAAATCTCGATAGTTAACAACTTGACAGTCAAAATCCATAAATTTTGTTTAAAAAAATAAAAATTTTACAATTAAGCATATAAAATTTTAAAAACGCTGTGACACAGTAACGGGTCTTAATTTATCAATTCAGTACAGTTCCAAATTAAGCAACAATTTTGAACTTAATTCCGGCCAAAGTCCCCATAATTCCGGCAAAAATAGCCATCATAATGTGGGCCAGAGTTGGGTATATTAAAATATTTGAATAATTTGATTAGTATTAACGCAAATTATTTGTAAATTTTATTAATAAACTTGTGAGTCCTGGAGGTGTATCGTCATTCGTCTGCTGTAGCTAGAAATTTATTCACACACACTACGTTCCACGTAAATTAAAAAATAAACGCTTAACGAAATTGTTTCAAATGAATCATAAACTGACCATATATAGTACAATGCACTAATTACATTGCCATTTCGTATTTGTCGCCTAAATCAATTTAACGGTGCCACGTTATTTCAAATGAATTGAATTTAATTTTACTCTAATAACATTGAAAAATTAAATTTTATCCAACAAATATTTTAATAAATAATAACAATGTTCAATTAATAAATTATTTTTAATAAGCATTAAATAATTTTTAATATACTGTATTTTAATTATAATAAAGTTTTAACAAGAAAAAGGTGGCAAATAATGAAAAATTTTTTTAAATGAATGAAATTTTTATATCAATGAAATTTATTATTTAGTAAAAAAAAAGGAGAAAGGAAGAGATAGCAGACAATTAGCAATACGCATTTTTTCAGACTAGCATTATCAAAAATTATCTAAAAAAGGAAAGATTTTCATGATTTTTTTAGTTCAAAATACGCAAACTCAAACTTGACCTTTTTACATATACTGATCAAAGTACAAAGTTTTGAATATTATAACTTCAACAATAAATGTTATCCTATATATGTACTATATATTTATACTGTAAATACTAATAAAGAAATACATATATATATACAATAATTATATATAATAAAATGTCATACAACTTGTTATATTATTTATGATATTTTTATATTACATATGACATGTCATGAGTAACTATGAGTAATTTTTTTTTTTCGTATGAGTAATTATGAGTAATTAACTAATTATATTTAAATTATACTGCACATCAGTAAAATATTAATATTATATTAATGGTAGATAATATATAATATACGTAATAAAATAATATTAAGCTATGTAATAAAAAAAATTATACTAATAAATGTACAGTAAGGTACGATAAATAAATATATGTAAAATTAAAAAAATAAATAAAATTATAATTAATATGTAATATATGTTAAGATATAGTTAAATTTTTATCACAATTCGTTTCAAAAAATCTTTTGTAAGTTTCAATTGAATATTTCCATCCTTCACCAATTTTTATATAATTTAAAGATTTTGGAGAAAATTCGATTAAAATATTTAACAATTCATCCCCAATATTATCATCATTATCATAAAATGTATTCAGACTATTGAGGTAAATTTCATTTAAATTTTTACAATTTGTCAATAAAGATTTTATATAAATAAAATCTTTAGGTTCAATATATGTAAATAATCGTTTAATTTTTGGACAATTATTAGAAATTGATTTGATTAACATTCCTGAATTTTCAACAGTTTTAACATCATCAATTATTACTTGTAAAATATTTCCTTTAGTTTTTTCAATTAATGTTGCCAACTCTTTAAAACATGATAATCCATGAATATTAAGAGATTCAAGTCCTGGAAATTCTGAAATGTTAAGATATTGTTGAAATTCTTTGATCTCATCCTTGCTTTTTTCACAATTATAAATTGTTATAGATTTTAAATTGTTGAATGATGTTAAAAACGAAGGTGGAATAAGGCAAATCGATCCTAACTCAAGATATTCTAGTGTATTATTCTTTCTTAGTAATGCTTTTCCAAGTTCTGTATGATTTTTCTTGACATTTGTATTATAATAAAGAATTATACTTTTTAAATTTCTTTGAGAGTCAATTAGAGATATCAACCCAGCAGGATGATTTTGTGAATAATTGACAATATACAATACATTCAAATTTTTACAAAATCTTGCCATCTCATAAAGATCGTTAGAATTTACAAAATTAATATTAATAAATAAAGAACGTATCTGAGAGAAACATGTTAATGCTCCCGGAAATGACAATAAAGGTTGTAAAGTGCACCAATGTAATTCTTTAATATTTTTACATTGACTAATAAATAATTTATAAACCTCTTGCTCCAAAAGATTTCTTTTATCATGCTTACATTCTACAGATTTTATAATATCATTTACAATTTCATTACTTGGAAACTCACAAAAATTGATATAATTAAATAATAAAGGTTTTAAAAGAATCATTGAGGATAATTTAATGCCATTATCGAATAGGAGTTGTTTCGAAGAAGATGAGAGACAAGAAAGTATTACGCTAAAAAGCTTTTTTTTCGTTTCAAAATTATTACATTTCTTATCATATTCATAAAATGAATACTTCCATAGGATAGGAACTACTAAATGACACCATTTTTTATTTACTAAGAGACAAGAATGTAGGGATTTGTGTAAAGATTTTTGTTGTGGTAAAATTTTATTGATAAGTAAAGATTTTTTATTTGTTCGTCGTTCATCTGTTAGTAAAAGTTTGTTGAAAATTGAGAGAAGACAGTCTATGTTAAGCACTATCATTTTTTTACGTACTATCATTTTTTTACTATCATTTTTTTTAAAAAAAAGATTTTACCGTTATTTAAATAACCAAAATATGTTTGTCTAATTTATGATCATTAAACATTATTTCGAACAAATTTATTTGTTATTAAAACTTTGAAAGTTATTCTAAAACCTTTTTTTCAAAAAAAAAAAATTCGTCATACCTGTACGTTACAGTATTACTAGCTCGTTCACATGACGACTGCGGATTATCTCTTTTTTTGTTATAAATGGTGATATCACTATGTTTCTGATATTAACCTAGTGTGAAACAGTAATTACAACAAGGAATTGATTGGGAAACATTTGAAAAAAATTTTTTCTATGAGGAAGAAAATATTGAATTGATAGATATGAATTTCTTTAATAATTAATTACTCTTATGCGAGGAGAAACATTCAAATTTACGTTATTTATAGTTAACCTTTAGCCCTAAAACTACTGGCGTCAACTTTAATTTCTTAACTACTAATATCTTACTCTTTCAATCAACCCTTTTATCGAAAGTAAATGAAATTTCTCGTAAGGTTGCAGGTGAAACATTGTTCATAATTCTTAGTAGTTCGTTTTATTATTTCTTATCATAAACATTTTTTTCAAATATAAGGTTAACCTTGTAGACAATGTTTAATCACCTAATTAATTGTTAATCTGAGACTTGAATGAATAGTCAAAATTAATTATTATACTAGAATTTAAAATTTGAGACATATTGTCATTAAGCAAAGAATTGGTTGCGTTGCAATGGCTTCTAGGTCGTACTGCCACGAAGCACACTAGGTGTCTGACGTTCAAAAGCTTCTAGATAATTTGGTGGGACGATAATCAGAAGTGATGGGTTCGTTGAGAATAATGTTAATTAGCTAAATCTTCTATTCTAGGTATTCTAGGGCAACCATTAATCGAATAGTAATAACGGGCTTTACTTTTGAAACTTCGGGATTGTGGATCCATCGTTTCAGGTAAAATCAGGCTTTGTAGATATTGTAAGAATTGATATTGTAGCGTAATATGTGCGTGTATGACTGTATGTGGGAGTAATGTGCTACAATTCTTTATGATTAATATTGTGAATATATAATTGAGATAGAAAATTCAATATGATTTGAACGTTCTAATAAAGAAGTTCTATACTATATTTTTTACCATGATGATACTCTATCTTTGCACCTTTCCATAAAAATCAACATTTGCATTCTATTTACTTACTACTCTTATCGCTCATTTTATGTTATTAATACTTACAAAGGAAATTCTTATTTGAGACTACCGAGAATCTATAATCTCTAAACTGTGGCGTCCATGACCGCAATGATATCAATATTGATATCCTGAACCCGATATTAATTACTATTGTAGTATTCACTTTAAAGCTTGTGGATCAAAGGAGAAAGTAGTGAATCTTCAAGATCAACTAAAAGATAAACTTTCAATGTGAATACAAATAAAAAAAAAAATTATACAGCCAATTTTAAGAAAGACGTTGACGGAAGTTCAAATTGCATCGCTTCAGCTCTTAAATCAAATAAAATAATGATTATTTATTGTTAAATAAAGAATTAAATGTCAGTATATTAAAAATAATTTTAGTAAGTCTATTCAGTCATAACTATAATCGATCTAAGAAATATGTTTTTGAATGAGTATGTCAGATATGGATAACAAATCCAAGTAATACGTAAAAAAATTTTTCCCCATAAAATTTCTTTCTAAGAAAAAAATACACAAAAAAGATTCATGCTAGGAGAAATATTTCTTTCGCTATGCACCTGTGAAAATAAAGAGAAACCAAGTACTCAATATGGCAAGTCCAATAAGAAAGTAGAATATTTTAGAATATATAATAGGTTAAAGCTATGAATAATAAATCAATTATTCTTAAGATCAAAGTCAAACGTAAATAAAAACATTATATATTGTTTATAATTTATACTTGAAATACTAGGAATCAATAGGAAACAAGGAAAGCCAGCGAAAAAAATGTTACAAGGACGAATTTGTAGCTCCAAATTGATAGACTTTAGAAAATTCTGCTGAAGTTTATGGATTGGAAAAATACAGTAGTATATAGGCATAATTATAGGAAGTCACATTAAAGGAAGCCTAAAAAAAATTAAAATAAATCGATGGCTTACAGTAATAATAAAGGTAATAATTATTTATATAGTATAAATATTTAATACCATTAGAATTCTAAAATTTTTAAACAAATTTGCAATATAATAAAACTAGTTTCCAGTAGTATTGAAAACAAGAGATTACTAAAAGAGTTTCTCTAACCATCATAAATTTTTTGTCCAGGAAAGCGTAAATAATTGTCACGTGAAATTGTGAAATTATCGTCGCGTCACGCCTGATTATAAAAAAACGGTTTTTTTATAACGTCATATCTGAAATATTTCTCACGTCATAGTATCACAATATTAATTAATATCGTCATATTTCACGAGTTTTGATTCTATTCCTTAACTTCGAAATAATTTAACACGGAGCTATTGTTTCAAAATAATAAATTTTCTTTTTTACACTTCTCAAACTTCTCGATAATATTTTATAGTTACAATGTAAATGAGTGTGCCAATTTTCTCTTTCGTAATGATAAATGACAAAAATTAATGAAATAAAGAATCTTAAAGTGTTCGACGTTCATAAGAATTTATTTTTTAGCGATGATTGTATTATTCATTAGTAGTACGCGTGTCTTTTCTATTTTAACGAGTAATAATTCCGAACTTTAAAACTCTACAACTTCAAAATACGGTAGAAATCCTTCTACTGCGGCTATGGTTCTATAGCAAATATTCTTAACGTTAAAATGGTTTACATAACGTTATTGCATAAGTCTTTATTAAATAATAAACATTACCATAATTTCATAAATCTTATTTTCTAAAAACTACATAAAATTATACATGCTTTACATACATTATCATATATTCTATATATACATAAGTTATCATAATATTAAAATAAAAATTTTTCATAATTAAAGTCCTTACTTAATTAATGTTAATCTTAACGTTAATCCTCTACATATTTAAATATAATCATATAACTCATATAATTCTTAAAAAAATAAAATAAAATAAATAATACAAACATAGGTATCTAGCTATATAGTATATGCATCATATAGTTAATTATACAAAAAAAAAACTTATTAACTTATATTGACTTAATTATAGAATATGCATAAATAAAAATTCTTTAAATAAATCATAAAATGCGAACAATTAATATAATAAATTACTGAGGCATTGGATTAAATACAATTTAAGATTCTGCTTTTGATCAAGTGTGAATGATGATTGGTCTTGTCCAAAACTCTGGGCAATCTCAATACCATAAACAGTCTTATTTAAACCAAAAGGAGTGACTATCTCACAAATAATTTGATAAATTTGACCATTACTTTTTTGTTGATAGTAAAAAGTATATTCATTTTGATTAGAATTAATGTTACCATCAGAAGAATCATTTAATAATTGAGTAATTGTAAGTGTATCAAATGGAATTCCTATGCATGTAATATGATAATTGCAAGGGTCATTAGGCGGTTTACAAAAAAACATAAACGTTTCGGATTGAACTGGCATTTGTTGATTGATAAAATTGTTTTGTTGAAATGGCTGTTGATGTTGGATTACATTCTGATTTGAAGTCAAATAATTATTATTCATATGCGAAGTATTTGAGGCTTGTCCAAAACTCGATTGAGGTATGAAATTATTATAAATAGGTTGAGGAAAATTTCCGGAATTTGGAAATTGAAAATTTTGATTCATTTTTAAGAAGCGCCAAAATAAAATTGTTATTTTTTTTTTTCGTTTGTAAATAGAGGAAATAGAGGAAATTTGTCTGGTAAACGAGTAATTTATTTTTAAATTCTATAATTCACGTTTAATTAATACGCGACCAATAAGAATCTATATCAAAGAAAGAGGGGAGCAACAAAGTAACGAAAATATACGGGAATTATTGTTTTTTTTTTTGAAAAAAAGGGAAATCCACTAAATATTTGCTTTTTTTTAAAAAAAAAAGTTAGAAAAAAAAGCGTTCAGAATCTAAGTGCTTTTATATTAATTTGGGTTCTATAAAATTAATTTAACCTTTTTTTTCATTTCATAAAATTTTCTTTTTGGCTTTTTTCATTATACTATTTAAGATCCTTTAAAGTTATATGTGCATCAAACAGGTGATGATAATAAAGTTTAGAAATTAAAAATAAAAGATAAAACTAACTAATAATGTATAATTTTTTATATAAATATACTTTATTTATACTTTATTTATACTTTATATTTTTTAATATACGAGTATAAATAAATACAATTAATTAATTTTGCTGCGTGCATTTTTATTCCACGCGCAAACTAAGTTTATTAAACTCACGTTATAAACGTGGGTTATAGTTTTGTTATTTTATTTTTACCTTAAAAGGTGATTATCGGAAGATTTTATACACAATGCAAATATTTTAAGCGTAATATTTAATTTTCCTAATAATTCATAATACAATGATCATGTGGTGAATTTCTTTGTGGTAAAAATGCATTATGAAGATCATGATATCAATACCTATTATTTAGCACATGTGAGCCGCTTTTTTGTTTTTTTTACCAGAATATAGGTCATTATAATGGATATGACGATCATATAATAAAGGTTTCAGGTCTTTGTTTTAAAAAAAAAAAAAATTTATGAAACTTGAAATATGTGGGTGTCAATGATTTCAAACAATAACTACAAGAACGATTCATTATCTAATAAACGTGTTATAGATTATATTATCCATCATTTTTCTAATATTTTAAAAATAGAATAATCATTATCCTGAAAATAACTTATATTCGAAACATTAGATGAGGCTAAGTTCGACTTTTATAACTTAATTGACGAATTTTTAAAATTGAATTTCTTTGTTCATTGATTATTTTTGGTATTTTATTTACTTCGAACTCACTTTATATGAATGAATATATTAGGAACACGCCAGAAACTATCATTCTACGTAATGTTTGATTTAAAATCACGCGAGTATGATAACATGAAGTTTAAATAATACTTTGCATCGATTGTGCTCTCATCACGTGATTAACTTACGTGTCTAATGTGACGTCATCGTTGCTTACACCGCGGCTGGTATTACTTACATTTAAAATAGATAATTAATGTTTAGACAATAATTCACATCTTCAATGCGGTATTATCATAAATGAAAGTGCCATCTATGTGGCAATATCGAACACGAAACTGTTTTACCAAGACTACATATTAGATTGAATCGTTTGTCTGATTTCGACCGTCGCTCGTATCATGAGTCGAAGTAGTACTAATAGTACTAATATAAATTAGCTTTAAGGATGACCGCCAATTTGATGGTAAAAACGTCTTTATTAATTGTGCATTTATGCAATTGTAGAATTTTAATAATTCAAATAATTTGACAGATTATAATTTATGAGATCAGACATTTCTCTTTTAAGTTGCTATAAATATATAGCTGAAAGTTATAGGGTAGTATTCAAGTTAAATAATATATCAATTTTTATATTCAATTTAATAAAATTTGTTATTGTGAATCGTAGTAGCAATCAGATATATATCGGTAATTGCACCCTGATTGATCAAGATTGCGATGGTTAAAAGTTCATAAAAAATTCGGAGGTTAAGAAAAATAAACATCTAGAATTGATATAGATTATAATAAATTAAGTAATTTTCAATTTTAAATCATTATATTATTTATTTTTTACAAGCATGAATTTCTTTTTTTTTTAAAAAAAATATTTGCTAACAAAATAAAAATATCACAAAAATTTATATATATATATGTATTAAATAATATTACTTCCAATATTAGAATCAAATAAATAAATTTTCACAATTGAGTCTTTTTTTAAATATTTTGTTTTTTGTCACATTTTATTTACATTTATTCTCTGATTTAATCGACATAGAAATCATAAAAAATTAAATCGTTTGCAGCAAAACGACTTTATTGCTACGCTACAAATTTAGATTTAATCGATGTAATAAAAGGAATGTATTTGAATGATATATCCTTTGAGGGGAACCATCAATCGATCCTCCTTTCTAATGTTTCTGCTTTATCAATCACGGTAACAACATATTTTTCTTCCGAATTTGTCTAATCAAATATAAAGATTATGTTATATGAATAGAATTAAAAAAAAATAAATGTAAATATAAATCACATGATTTTACTTACTGTTATATTTTTCCATCGTTTTATAACCGTGTCAAGTGATCCAAATCCTACGATAGCGAAAAAAAAACTCATTAAGCGACTATCGTAAAAAAAAAAAAAAAAATTAATTACGAAAAGCAGAGATTACTCACGTTGTAATATTGATTCTACTTGACCTGCATCATAGAAAGTATATAAATAATACGTTATTTGATAAGGAATTAAAATTATAATAAATAATATATTTATATCACTCACCTTCTTTCATTTTCTCGACCATTTCTTCTAATTTTTTCATTTGTTTTTCTATATCTATATTAGAAAGATAATGAGATTAAAAGAATTCAGGAATAATATGCAAAATAATGATTATCTACCTTTACTCAGCCCATTTTCTACATTTCCTTGTAATTCCAAGAGTTCTGCATCATGAAAAAAAAAGATGGCGAAATTTAAATAATTGAAAATCAAAAAAAGCAAAAATTTTTTATTTTTTTATTTACCTGACAATAAATTCAATTCAGGTTCTATTTTTTCCAGAGTATATTTAAATATAGCCATTTGCATTGGCTTAGCTAAAAAAATGAATAATAAAAAGTTAATCAATCTAGAAATTTGTAAAATTTGTAGTAATACGAAAAAGAGATTTAATACTTACATCCTTGTAATTTCAAGAGTTCTATATGTATATCACACGAAAAAAAAAAAGGTTAGAAAATTTTGTGATTAGATTAGTAATAAATTTCAATATATCATACGAAAAAAAAAGGTCATCTTACCTGACAATGATTCCAAGCTAGGTTTTATTTCATACTCAATAATTTTATTGAGCTTAATTTCTAGTTTTAATTCATCATTTGGTAACGCGAAAAGAATGATTCTTACTAAACCTTTCATTTCCATATTCATTTCAGATACCAAATATATAGTATGTATTCCTGCTATCAATAAAATGCTATATACAACTTTGATCAAAATACTATTTGATGGAATTAAAATCAAATATATGAAACTTGATATATAAAAATTTAAATTCCAAATTATGTATATAATAATACTAATTAATGATATATTTTCATTAGGAAAAATAGCCATTGATTCTAATAAAACCAAAAGAACAATAGGCCAAAATAAAATAAACGTTGCATTAGATGTGATATAACTAAAATTATATATCATTTCACCAATATTTTCCACAGAAAGAAGAGGAACATAATAATAAATTCCAAAGTAGATAATGAAAATTATGGTTAATATAATATGTTTTGTTTCATTACATTTAAAATGTCCCTTATAATTATGAAGAATTATTCTAAATATTAAGAATAAAATAATATTAAACACATATAAACCCACAAATATCAAACTTCCTGTCTGTTCATTTTGACTAATTGCGTATAACACTGGTACGAGCGGAATTAGACCAAATGAGGTAAAATCTTCAACTAGACATTTTGCTTTTTGACTGGTTAGTTGATATGTTATAGCATAAATAATTGGGATCACTCCATTAAAAAAGACGTCAAAAACGGTGGAAGTAGTTACATTATCCATTATTATTATTATAATCTGAGTTGATGAAATGGATAATTATTAATTAATCAAAATTTCACTCTTATTTATCTCAAAATTATAATCACATCCTAAAATATCATTCTTAGAATGATACATGCATAGAAATTCCTTCTTACGTAGATCATATATATAATTTACTAAAAATAACCTTGAATAATATGCATGTATTAGTCCAAATGAAAAGCAAATTCTGATTGTAAAAAAAAAAAAAAACCATAACTTATCGCATAATAACTCTAATCAAAATATTAAAATAGCTAATTCCAAAAGAAAATTTTCCAATTTTAGAGGTTCAAAAAAAAAAGGGATTTTCATTAAACAATTTTTATTTTACAAATAAGTTGCTAAAACAGTCAAAAGTTAAAAATAAAACAAATAGTAAATTACCCAAATGATTTACCCCTTTAGTATCAAGTTTCAAGTTTTTTTTTTTTCGGACATAGTATTTATGCGAATTTTCCCGAGTACTGCACGGTGCTTGATAAACAATGTACAATGTATAACATGTATAACATGTATAACAACATCACACAAATGTAAAAACGTGCAAGCCTTTTTATTTGAATTGTTGTGTAACATAAACTCTGTGTGTCATACTCCGAATTCTAAGTAGAAACTTGGTAAATTTGGTAACAATTATGGATGGCGTAAACGTAAAAATATCTTATGGGGAAATTATTTAAAAGAGAAAATTATTATTGGCATTATTTGAATTGAATTTTGGGGCAAATATCATGTAATGAGTTAAACATGGATAAAAGAGATAAGTAAAAAATTATTAATAATGATTTTCACAAATTTTGTACCGAAATTATATATATGAATACGTAATATTTAAACATAACAAATAAGCATATCATTTAACTTTTCCAGAATAACAGGTTTTACTACACGTGAGTTCGGATTTGGTTCTTAATATGGATTTGAAGGCTCGTTATATAATTCCCTATAATTTTTCCGGAAAAGAACGTGACCCAAATACTAAATCGTACCGAGTGAAATAATGAACATCTTTCGTAGGGATTGAGGATCGTTCATATCGAAGCAATTGAGGATTCGATTAAGATCTAAGATTGTCAAAAGTATGCTCCTCCATAATTGTTCTATTTTACACGAAAAATAAAATATATGTTGGTCGTACAAAATAATAATCTAAAACCTTCATTTTTTTAGAAATTAATTATAAAATAACCTTACCCGGATTCCAATTGCCGTACCCACTCTGCTAATCATGAATGATTATACGCCTTATGAACATTTCTTAGTAATTAACCAGTTAAAGTAATATATGATAAATAAAATAAACCTGGTTTACAACCTGTGAGCTTTGTGTGAAATTTTTCGTGAAAAGTATCATAAATGGGTTCTGTTAAATGATCAAAGAAAATTATTGCGTATTTCTTACGCCTTTTTTTCTTTTCGAAGCTACGTACGTAATTGATTGTAATTGATTATATAATCATCAAGGTTTATATGTATAAGGCTTATATATATATATATATATATGTACGCGAAGTTATTTTTTCAACCAAAAAAAAAATTAAAATAATATATCATTGCAAGATTTCAGTTTGATCATGGAACAAAATAATTTAAAAGATCAATTTTCAGATCCTCAACCAAATTTTAATAACTACACGTTTCAATCGATTCCTGAACAAGCTTCGTACGTGAATCTTCCTTGTATGGCTCCCGCTCAGAATGTAACAATCGAACATCAACTAACATTCGGTCAAAATAATTTTATCGTAGATCAACAAAATCTTTATTACTTTTATTATCAACCACCAAATGATCATTGCAACTATCATATTTGTTGTAAAGAAATTTCACTTAACAAAGTTATTCAATTATTAAATGAATTCTCTGATGGTAATATTAACTCAAATCAATACGAATATATTTTTTTCTATAATCAACAAAGTAATGGTAAAATTTACCAGATTTTTTGTGAAATAGTAATACCTTCTTTAATCTTAAATAGAGTTATCTATGGCATTGAAATTTATCAGAATTTTGAGCATGAACGTTTACTTTTTACATTTAATCAAAAAGAAAATCTCAAATTTTATTTAACACAATATCTTAAGCCACTTCTTTATTAAATTAAATTAATATTACCTTATTGGATTCATGTACTATTATTGTTGTATAATGTTGTATAATAAACGTTTTTTCTGTATGGATTTTTGGTCTCACATATTGTATGTTTTCTAGCATAAGTTTTCACATGTAATAAATTAATAAATCCATTATTTGAAATATTTTGAAATGATCTTCAAAAATGTGCCACAACCTTTTTTTTTTTATAAAAAAAAAGTTTAAAAACTTAAAATGTTTATTTCATTGAAAAATAATGCGCATTTTCGCCCAATCTGCAGGTTACGCTTTTGTGGTGGCGTTGTGGCACATACTATGAAAAGAAAGTCTTTGAAAGGTAATCTTATAATCAGTTCGTTTCTGTACTCATTATCCATTATTTTGCTTAAAAAGGTAGGTTATTGCTGAAAATCATCAATTATTATTTTTCGTCTAACATGAATGGCATAAATTAAATTTTTCAAAAGTTTTTGGATTTCATAGATACTTTTTATTACATGTGTATAATGCATTTTCACGCAATTTTATTTTAGTTTCCTATTTCTATGATTTCTAAAATACTGCACCTAAAATAAATTGTTGCACGATGATTTAAAATGTCTTAATCATACTAACGTAATAAACACGCCTTTAATTGGCTTTCCCTTTCGACAGTAAAATTACAAAAATTACATAAAATTGGGAACTCGTGGAACATTTTCTTATAGTCAAGATCGGTTCCTTTATTTCCTTAATAAAGTCTAGCCGTGAATCTCTATTATCTTGTGTACTATTGTATCTGAGTAACGTTTTCATAATATAATAAATATTGTTTATTAATCTTTCAAAATAAGAAACATCGTCAGGACAACAATTTAAATTATTTAGTTTTGTCTTTATTTGCGGTTTCATCATCAATAACAAACCAACCAATAACTGGAGAAACAACTAATTCATCAGAATCTTCAAGTGATTTTTGTTGCGCACCTAAAAATCCTGAAACTAATTTTAAACAAAATCCAGTATCAGTCGTAAATGGAACTTCAACTCTTCCATCAGGAATATAATCTGGGTTAATCGTATCACGCTCTAATTTTTCTCCATCCATTCTATATGGATAAAGGGCCGTTGTCCACCCTGTAACCCAACTAGGACCTGAACCAAAACTATCTTTTGAAATTATTTTTGACCAAAATTCTTCATCAACGTTGCCTTTATAAGTTTCTACTAATTTCCATACAACAGGGTCCAACCTATCTAACCAAAAATCCATATCTAAGTCCAATTGACGTAATTGAATAACTTTTTCTTGCAATTTTATCCAATCTTCTAAAGTACCTTCAAGAGTAACTTTAGGAATTCCACAACGTGAATAACCTTTATATGTAAAATACTCTTTAAGCATATCCAAAAGAACTATTCTACTAGCAGTAAGAGAATTTTTTGTTGTTGTAGAAAAATCACATTCTAAAAGAGTTTTAATATCAATTTTTTCTACTGCTTCATCAGTTTTTACAACCAATCTGTTTATTGCTTCAGGCCAATCTCCTTCAAGACGAGAATTTTTACTAAATAAAATACCATCAATACAAATTGCTATCTCTTCTTTATCTTTATGTTTAACAAAACGATACCGAAATTTTTCTGCATTATAATTAATATGTTGACTAACTCCCTGTGCTATAGTTAACCAAATATCATCAGGTGTTAAGAGCAAATGTTGATGATTATTATAAGCATGATAAATTGCAGCAGCTAATCCATGAGAAGTCATTGTACGTTCCAACACGGATTGATTGTTTGTGGGAGTTTCATCGTAATCAACCGAAATGGCATGAACAATTCTATTGGGAAAATTTTGAGAAATACTATCTTTTATTGATATATGTTCTTTAAGATCATTTTCAAGGTTAATTTTTTTAGTGAGGATTTGAGTACTCATCTCGTTTGTATGAAGAGAATAAGTTGAATGAAGTTATAATTTTTTTTTTATAATAATGATTTTTAACTATGAAAATCTATCTTTTTTGGTTATTGTATATTCATTTTCGTTGTAAATCTGCACATATCGATATAAAAATCTAACCTTTTTTGCCATTACAAACGCCATATGTAAACATTACGTCAAATTGAAACCTATTTATTGGCAACAAATACATTTAGCATCGCATATACAAAAAACATTGATTACGCAATAAAGCTCGCTGGCTCACGCGAAGCAGAACATCCATGATACACAGTGTATTAATATTTTTAATTCTAACTAAGCAAAATAAATAAGAAAAAAAGAGATGAGTTAACAAATCACGTTAAAAAGACTAAAAAATAATCCCTAACATTTAACCTTTTGAGACGATCGATTTTCTTTGTTACGTGATAGTTCTAATACTTCTATGAATAGATTCTTGGAGATTTATAATCTCGTTCTTATCTGCTGATTAGTCTTATCCACTCGTAGCTTCTGCCTGGCTAGAAGATTTTATAGATCATTAGGTAACAGATGAAGGCTTAATCCACTTGTGATTTTTTTTTCTGAAGATTATTTGTGCTATCTTTGACGGACGTTTCTTAATAGGTATTATGTTGATAAATACAATGAGTCAAATTTTTGAATATGAGTTTTCTATCCATCTGTTATTCTATGTATAAAAGTGAGAATAGATAAGTATTGTATGAACCGCAATAACTTATTTGGATCAGATCAGCGTAGAAATGATTCCTGCAGTGATGTGCATGGTTGGAAGCTTCCAATCTTTCCAAAGGTGCTTCCAAATAGTGCTTCCAATCTTCCAAGAGCACATCACCAGAATTCTATAATAAAAATATTTTTTTCGTGCGTCGGTATTTAACGTGGTAAATTCTATGAAGAAATTATTTTTTTCTATACATTAAATTCTTGGTGTGACATAAATTATTATAAATAACTAAAAAAAACTTCAATCTTTTCTACAAAACTCTTGTGTGTAATTTTTATCAAAAAGTTTTTGTTAACACTTAACAATGAATGGTCATGATATGAATCGGTTATTCATGTCGCGATTGCCGCATCATACCAACATTAAGCACGCCTGTTCAATAACATAATATTCTTTAGCTTAGAAAATTTTAATAAGAACTTAGAAAAAAGACGTTTATATCGACTAAATCTAAATTTGTAGCGTAGCGACAAAGCCGTTATGCTGCAAATGATTTAGAATATTTTTAGTGGACAAAATTACGTTTGTTACACTTTACATAAATACGTGTTATTATTTTTTTCGGAACGTTTCGCCCTTTTGGTACATATATTTGAATTATTTTTATCTCATTATTCTTCACATTTTTAATCACTTTACCAAACCAAAAAGACAACCAAACTCCTTTTTTACCGCATAACTATATGTGGAATCAATTAAATCTAAATTTGTAGTGTAGCGACAAAGTCGTTATGCCGCAAACGATTTAATTTTTTAGTGGGCAAAATTACGTTTGTTACGTAATAATTTAATAAATTACAATATATTAGATTGTCAAATTATAAATATAAACCGAGAAATTGTTCGATATTCTTCCATTTTAAATTTTGTGAACTTGTTACATACAGTGTTAAGAAAAACATAATATAGTTATTTATAATTAGTACACTTTGCTGTAGTGGTGATGTAATTATTATTCAAAGCTGAATAAAGGCGTGAGGATGCATTCATAATTTCATATTCAAATGGATTTTCAACAATATTATTAAAATCTGGGAGTATAATTTTCCATTGTTCTAATCTTCTGTTAGAATTTTCAGTAACAACCACTTAAGCGGTAATTATGGTCCGTATAATGTAAATAGTGTTTCCATGATCCTACCCTATAAAAAATTTTATCCGTTATTTCTGTAAAAACTCCGTAAAAATGAGTCTTAAGCACAAACTGGGATGATATGTTCTAACCTAACATTAGGTGTTCAGTTATTATATTATGGGCTTTTATCGTTTTACAATTGTGATTCAAATTGAGTTAAAGGAACTCATTTCATATAAATATCTGCCACAAGAACTTTTTACTCAAATTTTTCAAATTTTTCAACTTTTTCGCAAGAAATTGTGAATACAAGTCAATTGCAGTAAATGATTGTCTAATTTAATTTTTATTATAACGAAAAAATAAAATCACAAAACAATTGAACTTTAAAAGAAATCATTTGTTTCATTAGTCTTTAACGACATTACATTTGGAGCTTCTTTTCAATAAAAAAAAATTTTTTTTTTCTTTTAAAATAATAAGCTTAAAACTTTTCCTTTGAAAATAATGCGTATTTTCTTTTTGTTCTCAGTAATTCATGATGATTTGTTTGATTAATACATAAAGCATTAGAGTAGTGATTTTGTGGCAATACTATAAAAGGCCAAGATCGTTATTATATTTTCCTTAATAAAGAGTTGAAATTAATCACTCGAGTAAAATCTTCATAATCTCATATACTTTAGTTATATTGTTGTACAAATATTAAACAAGAGTTAACAACTAAAAATTCAGTGTAATAAATGTAATACTTCATAATAAATAATATTACTTTTTTAATTTTATCAAAATAAGAAACATGTTTCTAAAATTATTTGATTTCTTCATTTTCATCCTTGATATTAACTTTATATAGGCAACTTTGGGAGTTCTAGGACAAAATTCCTAATAGGGTATAAAAATAGTGGTCTCTTTCCGGTATACAAAATTTACGGAATATATATTGAAAACCAAATAAGTTGTGAAGTCCAGGAACTATATCATGAATCCTATATAGAATTCAAGCTTAAAATCGAGCTGGGCTAAATTCTCTGCTATCAAAAATTTCTGGTATTAAATTGACTTGGAATTAAGCCTAGGATAAGGAATAAAAATATTTCATATAGCCTTTCTAGCCGATTTTTTAATCCCATCTAATATAACGAAAAATGTATGTTATGTTGCTTGCCTTAGAAATGAGCAAAGAGCACCGAGGACCGAAGTGTCCGAGTGTGCTCTTTGTAAGTCTTGCTTTGCAAGCTTAAAATGCATACTAATTTTAGAGGTTATTCATAGACGCTAGCAAAATCAAAATTTTGATACCCACCCGCAAGGTGGGTACCGCCAAAATTTTGTATGTTAACAATAAAGTTTAGTAATTATAGCTCATGTTCACGTATAACGTAATTTTTTGCTATAAAAGAAACCATTCTAGAGCAGAATCATTTACATAAACATAATGTTACTAAGTCTATTTACATGAGTTAGGACAAAAAAATAGGTACTATGGTACCAAAATTTTCGAATTTTCGAATATATAGGGGTAATAGGTACCAAAATTCTGCCAAAATTTTGATAGGCTATTTCTCATTTATTAGTGCCCTAGAACGCAACCTGTGATAGTACTGGGAGACGTAAAACCCTTTTATATGAGCTGGACAACGACCAGAAACTGATCTTGTAAGCCTTCCACATTCACTAAATGGTTTATGATGCTCATCAGCTGATTTTTGAGCATATTTCCAATGAATAGAACACCCCTCTTCACGCATACAAGATCTCCCACAAATCTCACCAGAGTAAACGGGGTCCAAGAACTGAAGTTATATATAAACTAACCAGTATTTTTTTGTTCCAGTACCCACTACCCACCACAGAACACGAGCAAATTGAGTGTATTAATTATTATTAATAGCATCACGGAATCAGTGAATCGGCGCATAATATTAAATTTAAATAAGGATGATTTTTTTTTACACAAGATTATGGTAAATGGTGTAAATCAACATTAGAATAATGAATGAAAATAAATTGTTTCACCAGATGTATTGTCTTAAAATTTATTATAATTTTATAATATAAATATAAAAACAAATATGATACTAAAAAAATCAATGCAACGCTCGCATTATTTTCACGTGACTAACAAATAATCGCACGGTTATATTTATTTAAATAATCAAAATCAATGAAATAGAATAAATTCTGCATAACACGGGCCATTTGTCAGGATTTCTTACTATTCGGGATTTTGGCCCGAGATTTTGTATGGATCCCATCATGGATGTAACACATCGTGGAGATTTTCGCGGACATATTCTGTTTTTTGTTTAAGAGTAAATTTTTTTTTTCTCACTACTAACGTACTCATGCCACATTTATATATATTTTTAATTTTCAACATTTCCACAGCCAACTTCTCAATTCTTTGATACCCAATTCTCAACATTAAACAAAAAGCCAGAAAAAATATTCTTTTGTTCCACATCATGGGATGGAAGATAAAATTTTTTTTTCATAATTCCATATTTACAACATGTATATCATTTTGAAATAAAGGACCAATATTATATACATTACGTCATCTGAATAAATGAACGAGCACAAAAAGATATTATATGATAGTAGCTGCGGTCTAAGGAGGTCATTATTATATTGTGGTTTCTAAAATTAGTCACTGGGGCTTATCGATTAGATTAAATATGTTAAATCAATCTTTTTTTTTTCGACACGTAATAAATTCATTTGTAAAAAAGAGTTTTTTTTTTTCACAAGTAAATTTATATTAATTTATTTATTTTTTATTAATTAATATTATTAATTATTAGGTTATTCCTTAAACGTACAAGCCCTATAAAAAAAGAATGTCCGGAAATTGTAGCTGAAAACGTCCAGAAAATGTTTATTTGTCTGGAATATGTCCGGAATATTGCAATATTCCGGACGTTGGAAAATTTCCATTTTCCGGAAAATGTCCAGAAAATGTCTAGGAGGGTTCAGACACAGAGTCCAGAAAGTGTCCAGAATATTGCAATTTTCTGGACGTTTTCCGGACACACGGACATTTTCCGGATGTTTTTAGCTACAATTTCCGGACATTTTTTTTTTACAGGGAAGTAGATCGCAATTTTGGATGATTTTAAAAAATTTTTTTTTGATAAAACTGCAGCTCATTGGGAACTTCACGGAGAACATATGTAAAAACAAATAACTATTACTTAAATAACATTTGACAAATAAGATAAAATAGGGAAAAATGTAGGACTTGTTTTATATCCTACGATAATTACTATTATAAGTGCAAATTCTCGATGACACAACGTGAAGCTATTCGCAACATGAATTTTATCGCCTATGACATGATTATGACTATCGGTCATAAGTACATATGATTATGATCATTTAAAATTTCTATATGACCTGGTCATTGTCCATCACTGTTCATAACGCATTTCTTTGCATTTGGTAGTTCATTTATCTAATTTTGATTCACAGGCTAATAAACTAATATGAAAATTTTTCCATTTAATTTTATTAACATAGGTTTTTCGATTTACCAAATTCATAATTACAATTAACACCTATTCATTTTACCGACGATCATTTCACCGAATTTACACACTATATAGGTTTTTTTTTGTCGTTGTATTTGGAAAATTTTCTGTAGATCATTTAGCCAATTACAGCAAAATTCGAAATATAGCGGGTTGTCGGGTACTCGGATTACTCGGCTGGTCGGCTGGTCGGGTTATTAGAAAAGATATATAACACGTGAAACATATATATTTATGATGGCTATTATATGTTCACGGGTATACTTTAATTAAATTATAATTACATTATATAGCATACTTTATACTACGCTAATAACCCGACTAGCTGAGTAACCCGAGTACCCGACAATTCTGACAATGAAAATTTTCTATATTTCGAATTTTGCAATGATCAACAAGTCAAAATGCATGATAATTCAAATTATTATTACAAGGTGAAAATTGGCTAAATAAGGAGTAATTGTACAGCATTTTGATACACGTCGAATTCTTTCATTCATCGGTTTTTACAGCTGATTTCAAAAAAGTCAGGACACATGGCAAATTTTAAAGAACTCAGAAATATTCGGTAAAATTTACTAAGTGTCCCATACATTATGAAATCAGCTGTAAAGTGGTCTTGTTTAAAAAAGGTCCTATTCAATCCGTGCACAAAAACGCACAAAAAAAAAAAAAAAAAAAATATCTTTGTTTTAATTACAATCATTTTAAATTAAGAACCGCTTAACGTTTCTCTCTCTCCCTTTTTTTTTGATAATATGTGAATCATTCCATTTTATATATCGGAAATATATTCATACAACGATATTTTTTTTTCAAAAAAAATTCTTTGTGTATCATTGTAAAAAAAGGAGAATGAAATCATGACATTATTTTAAATAATTCCTTATGGTTCCATCCTATTGAATGACAAAATCACCATATTTGGTTGATGCGTAAGCGCATCACAAATTTCCCTTCATTATATATAGAGGCAGAGAACAGGATTTAACTTAAAAATATCCAAATAACAAATATCTCAAATATATCCAAATAACAAATATCTCAAATATTTCTAAATAACATTACACCAATAACAATATTTTACAATGAAATCATCTTTCTGGATTATCGTTCTTATTTGTGTTATCAGCAGTAGCCTGGCAGTTCATGCATCGCCCCTCGTGAAGCGCTGTACTCCTGGTAGCCAATTTGGGGATTGCCCTAAAGTCGTCGAGAAACGCTGTACTCCTGGTAGCCCATTTGGGGATTGTCCTTAAGAACCTCATCAATGTTCCTCCCCGATGTTAGTCTTTCTTTCATGAGATTTATATCCCTTTTTTCGTATTTCCAGTCTTTGAATTTCTTGAAAATAATCTGTTTCATTAGTAGTTTAATTTATTAGTAGTTTTTAATTTATTAATTATCAATTGTAATTCTTAATTATAGTACTAGTTGCATTCATTTTATCAAACCAACTTCAAATATATCATGTTTTCACTTTTGTTTAAAAAAGTATTTCACTTTTCTTTTACCTTAATTTGTTTATCCATAATGGATGAATAATTATTTTTTATTCATATAACAATTGTAACATTGATAAATTCATAATTTTTCATGTATTACATAGTTGCTTGAATTATTTCGTTAAATAAAAGTATTGATATATTATGATATAATAATTTTGCCATATCTCAGCGTCTGCTATCACTTTTCCTGCCAGATAAAATCACATGATTCGGGTCGTGTTTCGCATTAATCCATATTACAATAATATGTAATGAACGATACTATAATTAAAGAAAGAAATTTTATGAGCAAAATTTCATGATCGTCAATACTCATGTTAATTTTGTTTTATAATTCTGGCCAAATTTTATAATTCTGGCCCAAGTTATATGCAATTATATATATTATATCAAATATTGGTATTTATAATTTACTTATAATGTGATTAATTTATAAAATAATTTTTTGGATTTTTGAACTTCCTTTATAATTCTTATATTAAAAAAAAAATATCAAAATGACCGTGTATATATTATCACAAATATATGAATATATATATTGATAAAACGGATAAAAAATAAATTTTATTCCGCAAATTTCAGTGTAACTCGAGATATTAAAAACCTTTCAAAAAGTAAATAAACATCCCAAAATAAAAAAAACGTAAAAAAAATCGATAATAAGAATTATACTCCAAATCCTTTCCTTAATCATAATAAATTAAAATTCCGTTTATTCAATGTTTATAGAAGATGGATCGACTATTTACTAAACAGTCTTTCAAATTAAGTAACACAATCTGCAAATATCTTAACATAAATGAAATTTTTTAATTTCTTATCTGATTAAGCTCATTAAAAGTTATCATTAAAATCTAAACTTTAATAAAGAACAATGAACAATGAATCATAAAAAGAAAACTAGTCAAAGTGAATTTTATCAACCAAATCAGGTTAAATAAACTTTTACGCCTGTTATCTTTTTTCTTTTTAATAATATATAAAGAACCCAACTACCCAAGTTAGAATTCCCGTTTCATTTTTTTTTTTTTTTTTTTCAAAAAAAAACTTCATATCAATATGAACCCAAATTATCCAAATTATCAATTTTCTAATTCTGAAAATCAACAACTTAATTTTAATCAAAATATTATGGGAACTTCTTCACACATGGATATTTCTTCTGCGCAACATAATAATAATAATAATCAACAATATACCACGCAAGTTAATACAACATTTAATTCTTCTATTTCACCTATCATGCAAAATAATTTTATCATCGATCAACAAAAGCTCCATCCTTCTACATTTTTTTATCAACCACCAAATGATCCTTGCAATTATCATATTAATTGTAAAGAAATTTCAATTGATACAGTTATCCAATTATTAAATGAATTTAACGGTAATACAAATGATGACAAAAATGAGTATATTTTCCATTATCAACAATTATTCAATAATCGAATTTATCAGGTATCTTGTGAAATTGTCTCTTCTTTAACTTTGAATAAATTTATTTATGGAATTGAAATTGATCAAAATTTTGTTCAAAATTTATCTTTTACTCCTAATCAAAAAGAAAATCTTAAATATTATTTAACGCAACATTTAAGTCAATATTTATTAAATTAGAATTATTATTTAATATGTAAAACACTATATTACAAATATATAATAAAATAATAACTATTAAATTACATTATACATGTATTAAATATAAATTACATATTGCAAGTTTATACATTCAAGTATGTTTTAATATGTAAAAAGTTGTAAATTATCAACGGCATTAGTTTATGGAATTTATTAAATTTTTATTGAACCATACGAAACTCTATTATAAATCACATGAATTAATATGATCTAACTTTTTAAATACAAATCGGACTCAACTTATAGGAAAGCATACAGATGTTTGGATAATAATTTGTTTTTTTTTAGAAATACCCAATAAATCCAATATGAACTATCAAACTAGTCAACCAAGATCGTCAAACTTCACAGTTACCAATTCCTATATTAATGATATTAAAGAATTCAGCACTAATGCACAAGAATTATATTTTCCAAATGAAAAAATCGTTAATTAATTGGTTACGTACATGACCAGGTTTAATTATCAAAGCTCAAAGTTTGCCTACAACTTATTTATATTACCAGTTACTGTATGTATTATTTAATTACAAATCATTATTTCCAAAATTTTATATTATTTTATTAGTTTAGAGCTGACGAAATTATGCAAATGAATTGGAACAGAATTATCTTCAGATAATAATTAATAAACGTATTTACATTATAAAACTCACCAATTTATAATTTTATAAAAGCATTACTATCATACTATTCCATATTATTTACTTGAAAATTTTAATTATTGAGATTGATATAATAAATGCACTTTATTTCCATATTCGCCCATTTTACCGACACTTGTTTCACTAATATAAAATATACCGACGTCATTTTGCCTACTTGCCATTTCACCAACATAACATTTTTCCGAAATCTTTTTTTTTGCCGACATGAAATTTTGCCTGCTTGTGATCCATTTTATAGTATTAATATAAAGAAAGCAATGAATATATAAATTTTTTTGTTTCTAGATTCTAAACATTCTATTAAAAAAAATTAAATGGAAAATAGATTACAAAAGAATAAGTTGATTGGTGCTATATAATCTTGCATTATCAATGCATTTCGTAATCAGTTTGTTGAACTTCTTTTAACGCACTTGAAATAACTTGAAATTAAGGGCAGTAAGGAGTGAGGCGCAGCTAATAAATTTTCAGTGAAATGGCAAATCGGGTAATTTTACATGCACCGACAATCTTTTTGAAATCCTAATCCACTTATAAGATGATTCTTTTATCGTAAATAGAAACAAGTGAATTGTTTACTTATAATAATTTATTGTACATTTGAAATTTTTTTAATTTGATTACATTAAGCAATAAATTAATATAAATATTCATTTTAGCATGTACATTTGTACTTGTACATCAAAATAGGATAAAGTTAAGACTTTAGTAGTACTTTAGTTTATCAAGAAAAAAATAACTGTTGCATTATATATAAAAGTCAACAAATATAGATTAAATACAATTAGCTATTAAAATAAGTATAAAAAATTTTACATTATCATTGGAAATAGTTTTATATTATTATTTTGATAATTTATATTTCATAATTGGTTAAGTTATAAAAAAAGATTTATTTAAATTACAAACTAAGAAACTTGTAAAATATTTACTACTCTAATCTTAGTGTTTTAAATAATGTATAATAAAAAAAGTGAATATAAATATATAAGCTAAAAAAAAAGAATTATTTAAATTACAAAACTAAGAAACTTGTAAAAAATTTTACTACTCTATCCTTAGTGTTTAAATAAATTTAACAAGAATAAAATAAAAACCAATTTCTTTTGAATGTTGAAATATCAAATATCACTTAATAAAAACTATAAATTTTTTAAAAACAAACAATGATTGGTTAATTTTCATCTATTTTAATATCTAAATAATTAAATATTAAATAAAATTAATTTCACATAAATAATTTGCAAGATTAATTCTTTTATATATCATAGTACATACCCAATGTCCCTAAATCCTTAATTATATAACCATCCAAATCTTCACTTACTAGCATTTCATTTGTTTTTACACTAGCTTGTGAATCTTCATTTTCAAGAATTTCATTCAATTTTTTGCTAGTAAAACCAAATAAGCGACTTGTATAACATGCTTGTGGATGTGATGTAGTAACAAGATTGTTATACCGCCCAATTGGTGCATTTATAAATTCCATAATATTGCTTTTTAATTCTTCATTAATTTCATCATTATCAGGATGGAAAATCCATTTATCAATAATTTGTAATACTTCTCCAGAAGATGGTCTTTTTGATGAATCTTCATTCCAACATTCTTTCATTAAATCTACATAACATTGTGGAGTATTTTCAATAATTTCAGGACGTTCACCTTTACAAATACTCAAACAAAGTTGAATATCATGTGCTCTATTATTAAATGGTGGTACCCCGGATGTAAGTTCCCACATAATCATAGAAAAACTATATATATCACTAGCTGGCGTATAAGATTTGCCTCTTAAAACTTCAGGAGCCATAAATGGCATTACACCACAAATATCATCCCCATACAAAAACGATTTTACAGGTTGACATAATCCTAAATCACTAATATAAATTTTACCCTCATTATGATTTAAAATATTACCATCATGAAAATCACAATGAATAAGATTTTTTCCATGTATCTCACTAAGTCCAGAAATAATTTCGCACAACATAAGTAATTTTTGATTCCATTTCTTTTTGACTATTCTTGTTAAATTTTCTCTTAAATTACCTTTATTTGCATAATCCATTACTACCATATATTTTGAAATATTTGGATCTGCTGTAAATCCATACATAAATATAATTTCGTATGAATCTAAAACACTTGTATGATATTCCCACTATAAAAAATAATAATAATTTATTAATATAAATAAATTTTAATTTAAATTAAAAATAGAAAATAATATACTATCATACTTCTTTTAAAAATTCATTTAAATTTTCATTTAAATTCTTGTGACATTTAAGAATTACTTTTTTAACATTATCATTATTTAACCAAGTAGCTTTATATATAGTACCAAATCCTCCTTCATTAAGATATTCAACATTTTTAAATTTGTTATAAGGAATCCATCTTAATTTTTTTTTAAGAATAAAATCATCTATAATTGTATTTCCACTTTTCCCAAATCTATAAATTTAAATAATTAAAAAAATTATATTATAGATATTATAGATTGTATAATAATTTACAGAAAACAAATTATTACTTACTCTAAAATTTAAATAGGAATTTAATGTAATATAATATAAGTCTTAATTTTTGGATAAATACATATAATAACCTATAATTTACAACTTACCAACTAAAGTAACAGATATTTTTCAGATGAAAGAATTCAGTTAACAAATAAATATTATATAAAATATATAATGATAGAGATACTTACAAGCTAGATTGTAAATAATTTTATAACAAAGAAATTAGTTAATTTAAATTATATGTAAATATTATAACAATAAGTAATAATAGAATTAAATAAATAACTTATAACTTACAATCTATTTAAATAAAGAAATTAGATAGTTTAAATTATATGTAAATATTATAACAATAAGTAATAATAGAATTAAATAAATAACTTACCATCTACGAAATAATTTTTTAAATAAAGAAATTAAGTTTAAATTATATAAATAATACAAATATAGATATCATATAACTTACACCCTGTAGTATTATTAATTATTAATTAGTTAAATATAAAGATAATATAAAAGTAGTTACTGTAAATTATATATATTACTTACAATCTAGTTATTTGAATTAAGAATCTAATTAGTTGAATTAAGTACAATATTACATAAAATATTAAACAAATAAATATAATATATATATTGTAACTTACCATCTGTAATATAATTAATTATTAAATAGTTATATAAACAAAGAATTTAGTTATTTGAATGTTATGTAGAATAAATAAAGTAAAGACTAAAGATTTAAATAACTGATAACTTACCAACTACAGATTATTAATTATTGAATAAATTATTTAGTTATATGGAATACAATAAAAATAATGAGTAATTCATTATATTAACTTACGAGCTAAATATTTAATAATTTTTATATAATATAGTTAGTTTAAATTATATTTGTAGTATTTGAGTTGTTTATAAATAAAAACTTAATACTTCAACTTATTTGATATACCTTTAGATTCCTTGGTGTCACTTCCTTCAAATTCCTCAATATTACTTCTTTCAAATTCTTCAGTGCCACTTCCCTCAAATTCTCCAGTACCACATTCTTCAAATTCTTCTATATTACTGGAAACTAGTTTTGTTATATTGCAAATTTGGTTTAATTATATTTGATTATTTATAATAATTTTTTAATAAATAAAAATCTTAATATTTCAATTTGTTTTGTATATTATATTTACCTTTAGGTTTTTTGATATCACACAAAACTAGTTTTATTATATTGCAAGTTTATTTGTTTTAAAAATTTTGAATAATTCTAATTAATATTATTATTCGTGTTATATGCTATACCTTTACCAATACATTGGCCCATTGCTATTTCAAAACTCTCCCTAATTGAAAAGGATAAATAAATATCTTTTCTTTTTTTTTTTTTTATTATTGAGCGCCTTTATTAGTATGAATAAATATGGTAATAATATTTATGCAAAATACATTATGTGCAAAAGCATTGATCACAAGTACAAGCATTGCATCATTGCATATATGATTGTTGAAAATTTTGGTTTAAGGTTAGGCCGTTCCAAAT